ATATGTCTATCACCCGAGCCATTTATTTACCTTGAAAGTACTTGCCACACACCAGACAGGCGTAGGCGTTGATATGCGAGAGGGAGATAGAGCAGAGTTTCTCAAAGTCGAAGTCCAGTACACTCCTGAGACAGAACACAGGAAAAATGAACAGGGATGAGGAGGTGTTGGCCCTACATGACACAATGCCACACACATCCTTAAGAGAATGCTTTAACAACATATAAACCACACACCCAGCACTCCCTCAAGGCAGGCTCAGTGTCTGCATCAAATGCCCACAACACACTTTTACATTAGCTTCAACCAACCGTGGATTGATATTTGAAAAAATAAGTTACATCTGCACTAAACATACAGACTCTTTCCTCCTTTGCCCATTATTCCCTAAATGACTACTATTTTACATAGCGCTGACACTCTATTTGGAATTAGTAATCTCAGATCATTTAAAGCAACAGGAGGACATGCCTAGACTGTATGTACATATCAACCCACTGGCCTTAAAACTTGCACAGTCAGATTTTGGCATGTATCACAGAATCTTGGTTCCACTTCCCCCACGGATATAAGAGGAAACTTTTCCATAGTGTCTCACTCCTGTAGTTCTGGCACTTGGGAGACTGAGTCTGGAAGACTGCAAGTCTGAGGCCAGCTCCAGCTACATATAGAGTTCCAGATCAGCCTGGACTATACAGTCAGATGTCAACAACAACAACAAAAAGAACCTTCCATTATATTCACCCTGCAGGAAAAGGAACAAATAGGACTAAAATAAGAGCCCAGCAGCACTGAGAGAGCGAGAGGACATAAAGTGTGAACACAATTAGAGACAAAAATATCTGCCAGGCACAGTGCCACACACCTTTAATTCCAGTACTTGGGAGGCAGAGGCAGGGGGATCTCTGTGAGTTCGAGGCCAGCCTGATCTACAGAGTGAATTCCAGGACAGCCAGAGCTGTAACCCAGAGAAATATTGTCTCAAAAAAAAAAACAAAAACAAAAAACAAAAAAATAAGCAAACAAATAAATAAATAATGGAAAGTGGTTGGGGGATTTTGCTCAGTGGCAGAGCACTTGCCCAGCAACCACAAGACCCTAGCACACACACACCAAAAAAGAGAGAGAAAAACCATGAGAGACAGAGAGAGAGGGGGAGGGAGGGAAAAGAGAGAAGGAGGGAGGGAGGGAGCACCTGAAGAAGTTTAAGACAACACCTACAACTAGACCTGGTCATTAAAGCACAAAGCAAGGGATGTGACTGCTGAGCAGAAAGGGACAAAAAAGTCTCTATGTCCACTGAATCCACGACTGTGAAAGAGATTTAACAGTAAATACTAACAGTTGCACTGTTGAGGGACCACTAGCCACACATGGTTATTGATAACCAAGTCTGAAATTTAGTTCCTGGGCTGACGTGTAGCTCAGCGGTAAAGCATGTCCAGCATGAATGCCCTGGATTTGATTTCTAGCACCACAAAGAAACTAAGAAAGCAGTGCTTCAACTGCTGACGCCGTATTTCCAATCCTCAAGAGTCATGTGCAGCCTGTGAGTCCCACAGCGGACAGCCCTTAGGAAGAGCAATTACTGATGGACTCGGTGGGGCACACATGTAACCCCAGGACTTAGGAGCCCAGGTGGGAGGATCAGCATTCAGCGTCAGCCTAGGCCGTATATCAGAACCCTGTCTCAAAGAAGTAAAACAAAACAACGTTTTAAATGCAATTCTCTGTTGTGGAGAGTTCTATTGGACAGCACTACCCTAGAAGATAGGTTGTGGACAACTGGAAATCAAAGAAAATAGAAGATAAGGAGACTATCTCTGCTATACAAAAAAAATGTTTTGGAACTGGAGAGATGGCTCAGTAGTTAAGAGCAACTGCTGCTATTACAGACCACTGGAATTCAGTACCCTGCACCCACATTAAGCAGCTCACAACCACCCATAAGGTCACTTCCACACCCTCTTCTGGCCTCCACAGGCGCCAGCACGCACATTAACTCGTGAAGGAACACACATACACATAAACAACTGAATCTGGAAAATGAGAAGCCCACACCCATGCTCTTAGGTGTGCCTCACTTTCGAGTACCTCTTTACCTTAACCCTGTGCTTAAGCCGATATTAAAATATCTTCAAACCCCAACTCTGCTTCATTAGCAAGAAAAATATTGTATTTTATTTAATGAATCCTGAAAGTCTAGAATAGCACCCAATAGGTGGTGTGGATTCAATAAATATTTCAGTTTGCTACCGTAACTCCAGGTACACCAGGTATCCCTTAGTTACAAAATACAAATTCAGAATTAGCTAAAAGTTCTTAATGTGTACGTGTGCTCACTCGCCAGGCAGTGGTGGCGCATGCCTTTAATCCCAGCACTCTGAGTTCCAGGGCAGCCCGATCCACAGAGTGAGTCCCAGGGCTACACGACAATCAAGCAAAACAAACAAACGCACTCTGCCACCTTAAAGGGACAACATGGAAAACACGGCAAGAAGCACAATTTTCAAGGCAGAAAGGCTTAAAAGGCTGTTCAGTTTGGAGGATTTTCTACAAAATCTTTAACTATTTTCTGCATCTCAAAATCTACTGATTTTGCTTGTTTATATGATACTGGGGACTAAACCCTGGGTCTCTGACATGTCAGGCCAAGTGCTCCACTACTGAGATAAATCCCCAAGACTTTTCCTCATCCTCTCTGTATCACTGACCTGTTAATGGTATCCAGGTACGGGCAGTGACGACTCCTCCGGTCCTCAGAATCCACTCGGCCATTCTTTGCTGAGAAGAAATCCATCACAGACTTGAAAATGGAAAACTCGTGCTGAGCTGTAACTCAGTGGTAGAGCACTTAACTAGCAAGGGCAAGATTTGCTCTTCCACAGCATCATAAATGGAGGACAGGAGACTACTCAAATCACAGGTAACAAGCAAACTAAAAAAACCGAAGACAAACACAATTGTTTCCATTTTGTTTTGTTTCTATTTCCCATGAAAATGAGAAAATTTGATCAACTAAGATTAAGATGAGCTTTCATTTTTCTTGTAGTGACAACATTCCAAAACTGCAAACTGAGAGTAGATCTGTTACATATATAAACATCAAAAGATTAATTCACGTTTTACATAAAGAAATCCTGGCAAGTGAGATGGCTTAGTAAAGGCGTTCACCACCAAATCTAATTACCTGAGTTCAATCCCTGGGATCTACAAGGTAGGAAGAGAGAAGTGACTCCCACTAGTTGACCTCTCACCTCCACAGGTACACCATGGTACATGCATACAAGCATATAAATAAGTAAATGTACTAAACCCTTTGTTTCACCAGGTATGGTGACGCACACCTTAATCCTAGCCCCTGAGAGGGAGAAACAGGAGAAATCTGTGAGTTCAACAGCCAAGGCTACTTAAGACCCTGTAAATAAATAAATAAATAAATAGATAGATATAATATCTAATAAAGCGCTGGGTGGTGGTGGCGCATGTCTTTAATCCCAGCACTCAGGAGGCAGAGACAGGAGACCTCTGTGAGGTCAGCCTGGTCTATAGAGCTAGTTCCAGGATAGCCAAGGCTACACAAAGAAACCCTGACCCCCCCCCCCAAAAAAAACAAAACAAAAATGAAACAAGCAAAAAATCCAATATATCACAAGTACTAAGATAAGCCGAATATCTTAAATCTACTATTTGTCCAAGAATTGTGCTGGTCCTGAGAGTTACTCCTACTGGCGAGTGTTAGCTGCCACAGCCTCATGGACACTGATGGAAGGCATGTGATCACTAATAGACTAAAACAGAGTCTATTAAAGCAATGACAGTAGCCAATAATATGACATCTTTGCCACTTCCTGGAGTCAAGTCGCACAAGAGAATAGAAAAAGAGCCAGTGCTCACAGTGGGTTGCCTTATAGAAGAACTCTACCCTTAAAGGGGATCCTATCTGCTTATGAGCTTACCTCCCTTTTGCTCTATGGAATACAATCTGTCTCCTAAGGCTGTTCACTATATCAACATCCTTGACAAGACAATATAGAACCCCTACAACAACTTCCTGCAAAACCCAGGAGAAGCAGAACTGTCTCCAAACTACTAAACTAATACAAAGTCAGTACTTTAATCGGGTGCACAGAGATCTTGGCTGAACGGGCTTATTCCAGATACTACAACAGGACCCTGCATCTAAGGAATTTTGCAAAAACTGGAGAGGGAAACATCTGTAAAGTGATCGATCAGCAGAGCACCTGACCCACGCGGGCTATTCGATAAAGGGGAGCTGTGGTGTATCGTAACAACCTTTAAGTTTAGAACTGTCTTCATCTGAAGGCAGTCCAGTCTGGATTCGACCTCGGGCAGGGAAGCGTAGAAAGTAAGGAAAAGTAAAAAGCAGGCGAAAACTGGGCATCTCAGGGCTCACGAGGTAAAGGCAAGAGGAGTCTAAGGTCATCTCTGGCTACAACAGCAAGTTCCTGAGACCCTGTCTCAAAAGAAGAAAAAGGAGAAGAGAGAAGAAAGCAGGCGAGGATGGAGGGCGCGCCCGGCCCGGCCCCGCGCACCTCGCACCTCCCGCTCGGGCTCCGAGTCCTCGTCGGCCTCGCGTTCCCGCTTCACCCTCACGGCCGGGGGCGCGGGCGCCGGGATTTCTCGCGCAGTCGCCTCGGCTTCACGCTTCACGCGGACCGGGCTGCTCCGAGAGCTCGCCGCCTCGGGCTCCCGCTCGCGGTCTCGCTCCTTCTTGATGCGACCCGAGCTACCCCGCGACTCGGACTCGCGCTTCCCGCGGGTGGAACCATGAGACTGCCGCTTTGACCGGCTAGACATCGCCACCACCGGCTAGGAGCTTCCGCGCTGGCGCCGCGCACGCTGGAGACACGCAGCCAATCAGGAGCCGAGCTGGCCTCAGGCGCGCAGTTCTCTACGAGTCGCTGAGAGGGACAAACCAGGCGGTTGGACCCTTACAGGCGCTACGCGCCAAGTTGAGACAGTTGTTGAACCTGCTGTCTTATTCTTCATCATTCATCACCTCTTCACAGCTTAAAGAGATAGGAATTTTTCACAGGCTACGGTGATCGTAGACGAAAGGAAGCTAGCATTCGACCGTAGATATCTTCAAAACAGTTTGTGTCTCGAAATGACAATCCAGAGATGTCCCCCCTGACCCGGGACTGCCGACCTACACAGGAAGAGGAGTCAGTATTCCCAGATTGTCTCCTTCATTCGGGCTTGTACTTGGGAGCTTAAATTAGTACCATATTTACATGGCTCCTGAAATATGGAAATTGCAAATACTCTGCCAAGGCTCATTTATTGTTTAGCTAATAAAACCCCAAATTCAGTTTTACCAGTGAGTCATCTCTTTGTCCCTATCTATTTGAACAGTTCCACTGAGGTATAGTTGACAAGAGTAGTACATGTTAGACGAGTGTAATTTGCTAAATTCTGATGTGTGAACACTTGTGAATCCATTGCCATAATCAAGAAACTTGTCTCACTCCAGAAATGCCCTTGTGCCCCTGTGGAATTTTATACTCAAGTGTTATACAGTGTTTTCGCTTTCTGACCTGGCCTCTTTCACACCTGGTGTATAGACAATCTGTTCCTTTACTTTGCATTGCAATATTCCATCACACAGTTGTACTAGAGTTTGTCACTGTTCTAACAATGAGTTCCTGATTTTCACATTTTAAAACAAGGACTTGAAAAACTATACACACAGGCTGAGGTAGAAAGAATCCCGAAGTTTAAGGCCAGCCTGTGCTATATAGTTAGTTCAAGACTATCCTGAGCTACATAGCAAAAGGAGAGAAAGAAAGAAGAGATGGCTATACATTATTAGACCCTTAAAAGCCTTGGCTCCTCCCATGGGGACAGTTAAGCAAGTGATCTGGGCAGGGGCAGTGCAGCCCCAATGTGGCTGGAATAGGGGCTGGGTATGGGTGGGGAAAACTTAGCTACCTGAGCACTTGTCTGCCTCATTACCTACTAGAGATAGATGTTCTTAGTATGTTCACTTTTTAAAACGCTAGCAACTGGGGAGATGGCTTACTGTACAAGAATGCCTACTGTACACGCATTAGAACCTGAGTTCAAACCCCCAACACCCATGTAAAGAGCCTATAGCAGGCATGGCCTGTACATGCCTATATCCTAGGCCTTTGGACTTGAGACAGCAGGACCACTGGGGCTTGATGGCTGCCAGCTTAACTACAGGTTCAGTGAGAGACCCTACCTCCAAAGAACGAATAGAGAACACAGACCTGGTATCCTCCTCTGGCCTACACCACACACACACACACACACACACACACACACACACACGAAATTTAGGCACAGTTGGATCAGAGTCAACCAAGTGGCATATTTAGTAACATTTTCCTTTTTCTTCTGCCATAAAGAATGAAATTCTGTCATTTGCAGGGAAATGGTGAACCTAGAGATCATGTTAAGGGAATTCAGTAAGAGTTGGAAAGATGAATCGCAAATATTACATGTTTTTCCCCACATGCAGAACCTAGATTTAATGGTGTGTGTGCGTGTGCGTGTGTGATGAAAGAACTGTAAGAAGCAAGTTAGAGGTCCAAAGGGAGAGAAGAGGGAGCGAAGGTGATGGGGATGATAAAATATCACTTTCTCATGAGCAGAATCTGCCCTTAAATATACGAACAAAGCAGATACACATACACATATACAATATATTTGATCTCATAATGAAGCTCATTGTACTGTACACTAAAGAACTAACTTTAAAAGGCTAGAAAAGAAAGCCAGTATCTGTAGTAATAGTTTCCAGTGTTCGTGGATGACTCTCATTTTTTATAATTTCCTGGTATATCACCTATAAATCCTTCTTTTGTGTTGATGATATTACAAAGAAAGCGAAACTCCCGCCCTAACAGCAGCGCTCCACTAGACCAGGTTCGCAAATTCCGAAAGCATCTACGCTATGCCGCACTGGTGCCTACGCAACCGGAAGAAGGGCATTGGAGTCGGAAGTTGCGGTCCGCAGCCGGAAGTCGGGCTCCGCAGCTGGCGGTTTGAGTTCCGCGGCGGTTGAGGCGGTTGCTGCGGCTCTGTACCCAGGATCTGGATGGAGGCGGCACGGGATCCAGGCCCGGGGCTATGCTGCAAGCCCGGCGGGCGTCTGGACATGAGCCACGGCTTCGTACATCACATCCGCCGGAACCAGATCGCTCGGTACCGCCCCGCCCCAGGCCCGGCCCGGCCCGGTTCGCCCGGGTGACAGCACCTGACCCCCGCTCGGCTCCCCGCAGGGACGACTACGACAAGAAGGTGAAGCAGGCGGCCAAGGAGAAGGCGAGGAGGCGCCACACACCCGCGCCCACTCGGCCCCGCAAGCCGGACCTACAGGTGTACCAGCCGCGCCACCGAGGTAAGCAGCAGCCCGCCCGCGGCCCCGCCCCCTGAGCCAGCCCCGCCCCCTGGGCCAGCCCCGCCCCTGGGCCAGCCCCTCTTCTCTATGTCAGGCCCCCCTCCCTCGTCGCAGCCCTTACAGAAGCCACTGCCTCAGCGCCCCCAGATCTCCGCTCCAGGGCTCGTGACCCCAGTTAAGCAACACTGTTACTGAAGGTACATGGGACCCGGACAGGAATCACTGCCCACCGGTGTGGTCTGCCATGCTGTTTTAGTATTCCTGCCACTTGGAAGAGAGAAGCCTGACTGAAATTAAAGAAAACAAAAATGACCAGTACATAAAGTGAAATGAACCCAGTAAATGGCCTTTTCCCGGTTTTCCTGTGACCATGAACTCACATTAACAAACATGACACTAAGTTTATGTGCTGTTATTTACAGAGGGTTTAGATCTTAACTACATTAACTCATTGAGTCCATAGGACACCATAAGCTGAGAACTATTATTTCTGTTTCACTGTCCAAAGAGGTGAAATGATAAGTTGTCCAACATCTCAGAGCTAGTAAATGACAGAGTCTGGATTTGAACCCAGGCCGAGTTCTGTCCATCCTTTCAGCAACTTCCAGAGATACTTGCTGGAGACGTATGCATCCTGTACCTACTTTGTAGCAGAACTGTACTAGAGTAGAAATAGAAAGGGAAGTTAAGCCGGGCGGTGGTGGCGCACGCCTTTAATCCCAGCACTCGGGAGGCAGAGCCAGGCGGATCTCTGTGAGTTCGAGGCCAGCCTGGACTACCAAGTGAGTTCCAGGAAAGGCGCAAAGCTACACAGAGAAACCCTGTCTCGGAAAAAAAAAAAAAAAAAAAAAAAAAAAAAGAAAGGGAAGTTAAAATCCTGATTGACAGCTCCCCAAACACACACACTGCGTTCACATGCATAAATACCCAGAGACTGTCGAGGCTTGGAGGCTTCCTTGGTTCTCTTTGTCTGATGATTTCTGTGGGTAGGGATTTTAGCAGCATTCCCCTTTTCCCTCTCATTCTGGTTTGCCCTTACAGATGCCTCTGCCCACCTAGTCAACCCAGACTGTGAGGAGTCCGGTGAAAGCAGCAGTAGTGGAAGCTCTGAGCTGGAGCCTCCTGGCCGCCAGCTCTTCTGTTTAGAATATGAGGCGGACAGTGGAGAGGTCACATCAGTTATTGTATATCAGGTACGCCTTCTGGAAACAGCTGCAGCTTGAAGGTCCTGGGCCATGATGGAAACTATTGCCAGTCCCTGAGCCAATGTTTATCTCAGGGCCAGTGGGAAAACATATCTTCCACATGGGACTGCTGGGCATTGTTACAAGGTACAACTGTCTCAGCACACAGTGGTTCTTAGTTGGGGGGACAGAGAGAACCTGTGACCCTCACTTGAGAATCACTATTACAGGGGACTCCTGAGAAATGAGAAGCCTTAAGCCAAAGAATTCTATGAGAATGCTGTCTAGGAACAGGGCAGGTCACTTTCCTGAAAGAGACCAGGCTCTGAGCTTCCCGACTCTTCCTCCACGTAGGATGATGATCCCAGAAGGGTGAGTGAGGAAGTATCAGCACACACACCTCTGGATCCAGCCATGCAAGAGGCCCTCAGATTGCGCATCCAGGAAGAGCTTGCAAAGCGCCAGAGGCAACACTGACCGGGCTGAAGGCATTCAGGCAGGCTTCACTGCACTTGGCAGAATTTCACCCAGGGAGCTCACCTCTAGTTTGGGGGTACCAGGACCAGTCTATATGATCTTCAGGGATCCTTGTCCTCCCTTTCCAAGCTGCTGTATCCACAAGGGTGTTGCAGGACCACATCTGGCCTACCTCCAGTAGCCATTCCTTCTTGTATATTGGCCCATTTGTCTGAGCTAACATTCTGGAATTTTATGACAGTTTTGGCTAATTTGGTGTCTTGGGAGCAGAGACTTCAGGGAGAACCAGGGCTTATGAAGCCTTTACCCATATGCTGCTGTCTTGATGAGATCATTTGCCAGGCCCTTTCATGAGCCATACTTGTTATTCTGTGGTTCTTTGATGTTTGTGCTTTCTTCCACACATCGTCCCTGGACTGGTTGTCACTTGTCCTTTCTCCTACCTTCTTGCCATGGGTAAACTCATTCCCCCCACCTTCCCAACGTGACTGTTTCTCTACCACTCAGGAATTTGGAAGTGGGGGTTCTGGGAGCCTGCCTTCCTCACAAGTTCTCCAAGTAATTCTGATGCCAATAAAACAGGAGAACTTTGTTTTTGAGGCCTATTTGGAAACATATCTCCTTCCCCTCCCATGGCTTTCCCAAGCCGCTCACATGCCCCCCTGCTTTACACTATGTAGAAGAGGTAGAGGAGCCCTAGGAAGACAATGATGGGCTAAGCTTCGATCATCTGTTGAGAAACCTGCCTGCTGGGAATGGTGGGGCACACCTTTAATCCCAGCACTCAGGAAGTAGAAGCAGGCAGTTCTCTGTGAGTTTAAGGCCATCCTGGAACAGAGGGAGTTCCAGGACAGACAGTCAGGGCTTGTAGAGAGACCCTGTCTCCAAAAAAAGAAAGAAAGTTAAAAAAGAAAAGAAAAACCTGCCTTGCCTAGGCCTACCAAATTGACCCCCAACTGTAAAAGACTACCTTCTACTCAGACTAGAGGGGAGTTATCAAAACAAACTTGAGACTAACTCTCCAATTATGGTTTAACAGTCTTGAATTATTGAAGATGGGAAAAGTTGACAATAGCTATGATTGCCTTGAAGGGGGGGCGGGGCTCTAGTTGCAAAAAAAAAAAAAGAGTCCTGGAGAACACCATAGAGGAAATGAACGCTTCTCCACCCCATGCTTTCTTCTTTCCCACCTCTCAAGAATATGTCTGAGCATGGTTATGCACACTGTGACTGCTGTGTGCAGGAGGCCAAAGTAGGAGGATTGCTGCAAGTTAAAGGCCAACCTAAGTGGTTCCAAGAAAAAACTAAATAAATGTAACTTAGGTCCTTTGGGTAAAGATCCCCAGACATAGCATTTTTCCATCAGGGGATATGTTTTCCAACACAAGATTAGGCTAAGGTCTGAAGTCCACAATACATCCTGTGCACGGGAATTCAGAGGCACCTAAGATTTCCAGGAATGAACCTGACTTCAGCAACTTGAAATGTGAGTTGTAAAAGAGCCTACGAGCACTGAGACTGCCTGCAGCCAAACAGCCTGCCCAGGGGTTTGTCTTCCATGTGAGGGTCTCAAGATCGTTCTGACCATAGCAGCTCAGTGGTTTTTCTCTTCCAGGACACTTGGGGGCTCTGCTGGGTTTCATCCCACGCTGCTGAAAACAGGTGTAATGGGGTTTGAGCACCTACTTTATGCCATTAAAACAGTGAGTCACAACTTGCCATGCCAGAGGAATTCTGGGACAGTGAGTTAGGTAGTAAGTTAGAAGGTCCTGGTTGTGGAGGTGGCTGGGGACCTAAATGCTCTAGACCCAGAGAGCTGGTCCCAGGGTTAAGTGCCTTAAGCTTGTCAGTCCTAAGCCCAGTTCTGCTGTCACAGGAAAAAGCCTTTACCCTGTGCTCGTGAACATGTGCTATAAGTGCCTTTGGACTTACATGGTTAGATACCATCCAGAGCCTCTGGGGAAGGAGGTTCTGCCAAACTCCATGCTCATCATCCAGCAAGCCATTTTAGTCTCCAGTTAATCAGTCCATTTTCTGACTTGAAACACAGGATTCACTGGAACTCTGGCTGCTTTAGGAATGTGTTCTTAGCGCTTCATTTCCTATTTCCTGGTACAGTTTCTAAACCTAGAAAAAAAGACCTGAAGAGGAATCTGAGGACTCAGCACCTAAAAATTTGCCTCTATTCCCACTTCTTGAGAAAGAAAGAAATGGAAGAATACAGCATTCAGTATAGGCCTTTTTTGTGTTTGTGATCCTCACAAAGACCTTAGATAGGAGACTGATGGAAACTCCTCTAAGCCTTTTGTCCAGAAGCACTTTGCTTATCAGGTGTGTATGAAAGATTTTCTAGCCAAGAAAGCACTCTTCATTTTTAGCTAATTTCTCCTAAAGCTCCAAACCTGTGCTTGAATGAAGAGCGATCATTCTGAGCCAACCTGTTGGAGCTGATGCTGATGTCTCTTCAGGCATCCCTGAAATGCCTCTCAGGGGGCTGTGCCCTCAGCCTTATGGCTTAGCTGCATTGCTCTGCTGTTCTCTTCTGGGGTCCATCATAGTACTGTTCAGTTTATTTGGCAGATCTGCTTCTAGATGTCTCTTACCTGTTTCAAAACTCACAGGCCATAGTAAGCTCTCAGAACTGCCCTGTTTTGTGGCACAGAAGAAGCAGTATGCCATAGACAGGACTTACAGCAAGCTGCTTCAGAATCAACACTCATTTGAGTAGATACGTTCTTGGCTGTCTTTTTTTTTGGGGGGGGGGGTGGATATGGGAGTCAGGTAGGATGGCATATGCCTGTAATTCCAGCCTTTGAGGCTGAGGCGAAATGATTGCCATATATATATAGCCAGGCATGGTGGCACATACCATTGATTCCAGCACTTGGGAGGCAGAGGCAGGAAGGTCTCTGAGTTTGAGTCTAGCTTTGTCTACATAGCAATTTCCAGGACAGGCAGGACTACATAGAAAGACCCTGTCTCAACCCCCACCCCACCCCCAAAAAAAAAGATTGCCGTGAGTTTGAGGCTGTCTTGAGCTACATAGACCTTGTATCAAACAGTCTCATTCCTACTCTCTATGGAATGTTTTTTCCCTCAGTTCTTAACTGGAATTAAGCCTGTATTTCACAGTTTTGTAATTCCTGAGCCAGAGTTTATGTCATTCTTGAGAGAACTGGTTTTGCAAGGGGGCTTGGGCTGTGCAAGTGTAAATGATAAAGCTGGAGTGGTGGCCCACTGCAAGCATGAAAGTCTTTGAAGAGTGCAGTACAAGAAGGAAAAGGATATAAAAGTGTATGTATATGAAGGGAGTGGTGTATGCACTGGCTGCAGTAGCCAGCCAGTGGTGGGTCTAGTGTGAATGAAAGAACATTCCATCTCTGGTCATCTGGGGTGCATTGCCAACTAGAGACCACCCCAGATAGATCGAACCCCTTTGGGGTGGTAAGTATTCCAACTTGCTGTGTGTGTTGACAAGATCTGCGAATGGCGGGGTGGTGCTTCCCAGATAACTCAAATGTAAGTGAGACCTTTGTATGAAAGACAGATGACTCTCCTACCTCTGAGCCTTTTGGGAAAATCTCATGGAATGTTGACAGTTGTTTAAAATCTTAACTCCTTTGGATTCCCATCGCATCGTTGGGAGCCCTAGGCATCCAGCCCAAATTTCTGGAGGATTGGAGTGATACTAGAAGTGAAGACCTTCCTAGTAAAGGGCTCCTCTCTTCCCAGAGCCAACAGAACAAGGGGCTGGGAATGGAACAGTTCAAAAGACAGGAGGAGCACTGTACATTCGAGGGCAGCCTAAGCTATATAGCAACACCTTATCTCAAAAAAAAAAAAAAAAAAAAAGCATCAGAGTGTACTGGCTATGTCATGGTGCTAAATGTAGAAAAAGCCATACAGTCTCATTTCCGGTGTTTCTGTATAGATAAAATGGAATTATGCAAATTGAAAATCATGGAAGGTACTTTTTAACCAATAAACTATTTTTACAGCACTGTTTTTGCCAAGAGTTGTGAAATCACTTGTGTACTTGGGGAGGGAGGTTAAATGCCTGCCCTAAAGTTACTCCACTAGAATCAGCACTGGGAATCTCATCTCTTGCTGTGCTGACTATTTGAAGAGCTGTTCTGGTCAGAGTATAACAGCTAGACTCACGTAGCATAGAGGTTGAAATTTTTTAAAGGTATCTGGTCCTACTATTGCCCTCTTAGGCAGCTTCCTCCTTCAGGTGTCCAGAAACAACTTGGTCCTCATCAGGTTGACATTTTAAACCTAAAAGTGCCTCCAGTGGCACAGCTCTGGAGTTCAGGTAACCTCAACACTGTCAGAATAGTCAGTAGGGCTTGTGGAATCCTCCAAGACCCCCTGGTGATGAGATAGAGACATAAACCCAGCCCAATAGGATACAGTGAGTGTTAGGAATCACAAAGCTAAATGCAATGGCCATATAGTCCTGTAATAGCAGTACTAAGGCAGAGGCAGGATGATAGTCAAAAGTTAAAGACTAAGCTGGGCTTGGTAGGACATACCTTTAATCCTAGCACGGGGTGGGGGAGGGGCAGAGGCAGGCAAATCTCTTGAGTTCAAAGACAGCTACATAGTGAGACCTTGTCTCAAAGAAAAAATTAATATATAGATAGATTGAATGAATGAATGAATTTGGGGTCTAGAGAAATGGCTCATCGGTTTAAAAGCACTTGCTCTTCCAGAGGACAAGGGTTCAGTTCCACATACTTGGTGGCATGAAACTGTAACTCCAGTCCCAGAGGATCCACTACAAGCATGTGGTGCACAGACTTACAGGGCAAGCAAAACACCATACATATAAAGTAATAAAAATAAATCATATATATAATTTTAAAAGTTCCCCAGCCAGATACAGGGAGTTCCAGCAGCAGGACTCCACAGTCCCTAACTTGAGAAGAAAGGCTAACCAGGTGTGGTGCTACATGCCTGTAATCCTAGCACTCTGGAGGCTACAGCCAGAAGGATCATTAGTCTGAGACTAGTCTGGATTACGTAACAGGACACTATGCAGAGGGGTTGGGGTGGAGAACAGCTCTCAATGATAGTTCGCGGTCCCATTTGAGCATGTAAGAGAAAAGGTGCCTGGTTAGGTTGCAATGTAGTGGGCAGGAAGATATTACTTCTGTGTTACTGAGAGATGCACCTTTGTCCCTCAGACAGAAGCTGGGCTGGATTTTATACCCACCCCCACCGCTGTCAATTCAGCCAGCCTAGTCTTGTCCAGTGACCATTGCAGAGCCTTATTCCTTGGCCCTGTTTTCACCAACAAGTCCTGGTGGTAAGAGGGAAAAGGCCATTCAGTGATTTCCTATGCCACTTCTGCCCTCCATTTGGATGCCCAGAAGGTTTCTCCTCTTGAAGCTCCAGTCCACGGCTTCTTCTGCTCTATTTTGCTTCAGCACAAGGGACTTTGTGAAACTAATTGGTTTCACCAGTCCGGCTGTCTCCCACTCCTACCAGCCTGGGATCACGCCCCCTTGGGATAATGATCCCCCTAAGGGTGGTCTTATGGGGGCCCCACTGCTGGGGCTGCCTAATAGGCAGAGCCAGACACACCTATGGTGTGCCAGCAGAAGTAGCCATCCCCTTTCCATCATAAAGAGAATGTTCAGGGTACTCTGTCCATCGATTGAAGGGAGACTAATGGATAATTTATTCCCACATAGTCCTGTTTTCCTCTTCCCAGATTCCACTTGAGTCCCTCACCTTCCCCTCTAGTAATGAGCACCTGGGTGTGTTCATCTTTCCCGGCCCTAGGCAGGCACCAGCATGTATTTAGAATGGATATCCTTTAGTACCCTAAACCTTACTTAAGGGTTGAGTCCTTAGTTGGGTAACATCTTGGACATGGTGACTTCTGGCCAGTACTCTGTGTTCTTGTATGCCCCCAAAATAAAAATAAAAGCAGCCCTCTTCCCGAGTTTGCTATTGGGGCGGACCGGAGGCTAGCGGGTGGGGTGGGCAAAACCAAATTCAGCGTGCTTTGGGTTTCCTAAGCCAAGTCCAGGTTTGGTGCTTGGCTTCTCACCCCCCCGGCCTCTTGCCTGTCAAGACAGTAGCAGGCTTGGGGCGCCACAGTGAGGTAGGGGAGAGCCTCCCCAAAGCCTTAACAGTCCGCCAAGGCAGTGAAGGAAGGCTTCTTCCAACCACGTGCACGATGACAGCCACAGGCTACAGTCACGGGCGGAGCTGCAGGGCTGGCCAGCCCGCACTCCCACCGCAGGAATGACAAAACCAACTGCCCTCTAGATCTCGGTGTCAGAGGTGTCCGGGCCATCGCCCCGGGCGCCCAGGTCCCCTGGACTTGGGGCACCGCCCACGTTTCTCCCGTGACATTGCCGCGGGGGCTCGGGAGTTGTAGTCTCGGGCGGGGCGCCGGCACCGGGGCCGGGGCTACGCGGACTCCACGTCCCGGCGGGCGGCGCGGCGGGCCTGGGGCCGCCAGGGGCGGGGCCGCTCGGCCCTTTAAACCTTTCAGGGCTGCTCCGAGGGCCGCAGCTGGAGACGCAGCCACGAGGGGGCCGAGCAGGGAGCGGCGGCGGCGGGGCGCTCCGGGGAGGTGCGTACTGGACTTCTTTTCTCTCGCAGCCTCCAAGGGATCGCCTTGGGAAGCCGGGCTCTGGAGGGAGGGGGAGTTGTCGCTGGCTGCAGACTCCTACCCAAGCTGGGGTCCCTGTGCCCACGCGAGCGGGACCCGGTCGGGCTTCCCTCGAGAACCCGCCCCTTTGCCGGGGCACGGTGGTCAGGTGGTTTGCCCGCACGCCAACGCCTGGCAGCCGCTCTCTCGGCCCGGCGCACCCTCCCAGGCTTTCCTTGGCATGATCCCCTTGATTGTCCTAGCTCCAGCCTTCACCAAGCCGGTGTCCCTCAGGCCGGGGAGCGTGGCTCTCTTTCCAGATGTTACAGCCCTACCCGAGGCTCTCAGCGCGCCGGTGGCATTTGAGTAGATCGCGGAGGCCCCCGATGGATAGCCAGAGGGTGCCACGTTCCGGCTGAGGCACAGCCCAAAGTCTGGACCCTCGAATGCCCAGGGAGAGCTCTGGGATGGTGTTGCCCACCCTCCCCCTCCCCCCCGCCCTGGCCAGTCACCAGACCCTGGACCTTGATCTTTCTCCCCCACCAGGCCAGGGCAGCTGATGATTGTGACCGAAATATCTCAAGGTAGCTGGGCCTGTCCCCTCTTCCCCACCTACCTGTTGTCCTTACCCCCAAACTACCACCACCCTGGCTCCACTCCCTCATGACCGCCTGGATCCTCCTTCCTGTCAGCCTGTCAGCATTCTCCATCACGGGCATATGGACAGTGTGAGTAAGAGGGGTGCGGGTTGAGGGGGGCCTAAAGGAGCTTGATGGCAAACACACAGTCCATTGACCTGTTTGTAGGCTCCAGAATGGTAGGTACCCATGGTCACTCTGTCGCCAAAGCTTGGCCTGATTCCTGGGCACACAGCCTCTTGAGACATGCGGGCACCACTGCAGTCCAGCAAGACAGCTCCGACATATACTTCTAAGCAGGGCAACTTCCAGAGGGTCTTTGGTTGGAGGCAATTCTACAGGGTCTGCTATAGCATCAATACCTACCTCCTCACCCCACCAAAAGACAGCAAGGACAGTGAGGCTGAATTAGGCCAAAAGTCAAAGAGCCAGTAGGGGGTGGCTGGGCCGGAAGAGACATGAGGACAGAGTGACAGGTCTGCTTCCACAGGTATGCCATGGCCGTGATGAACCGCCACGTGTGCCCAGTGGAGAACTGGTATGGAGCACTCTGCAGGTGGCCTCACTCTAAAGCTCCCTTCATCTCTGTCCCTCTTTGAGCCCACAAGCCACATGGAGACCATAGACCTCACTGCTATTCTGACACTGGTCTCCAGGCTTGACATCCTGGCCATCCACCCACTTCCCATCATCCCTTCATCCTCTGTCTCTGCTTCAGGAAAGCCCTGGGAGGTCTGGAAGATTTCTCCTGAAGCCTAAGGCTCCAGGCTGAGGTTTTGAGATACTCCTTCCTCCAATCTTCTACCCTGTGTCCTACCTGCCAGGTCCTACAATGAGTCCTGCTCCCCTGACCCTGCTGAACAAGGGGGCCCGAAGACCTGCTGCACCCTTGATGATGTTCCTCTCATCAGGTAGGTCCTGGAAACTGGGCAGACCCCAGACCTCCAGAAAGCCCCTCAAACACAGAACTGTCCCCGGATCTCAAGAAGAAAGATTCTGAGCCAGTGAATACTAGCAAGGCTAAAGTGGCACTTGGGAAGTAGTACGAAGATGAATCCAAGGCCTGCCTGTGTCATGTGAGACCCTGCCTCAGAGAAGAAAAGAGACAAGGGGGAGCCTGGGCATTGGCCATACAGCTCAGTTGGCAGAATGCCCGTGTGGCATGCGCAAAACCCAGCACCACATAAAACTAGATGTGGTAACACATGCCTGCAGTCCCAGCACTCTGGAGATTAAGGCAAGAGGATCAGAAGTTCAAGGTCATCCCCAGCTAGTTTTTGGTCAGCCTGAACAATGTAAGACCCTGTTCCAAAGAAATAATGCACTACTTGCTATTTCTAGGAGCTGGGCATTCTGCTGAGTTTTATATGCCAGTGGTGCCTTTTACCCCTTCCTTCAGGTTAGGTTCCGTTTTCACCGCTTTTGATGTGGAAACAGGCTGGGAAATATCCATTCAGGTCACACAGCTAGCCAATGAAAGTACCGGATTTAAGGTCAGCACTTCTGAGTGCCCAACACAAGTCCAAGGAAATCTAGACCAGCTGCAGGACTCAGCAAGGAGTCTGAGATCTGCCCGGCACTCTAGGGCACCTCTTTATCTCTTACACAGGAGCTCTATTTCAATCAGAGGCTTGTCTGCTGAAGGGCCAAGCACAGATAAAGTCCCCACCCCCCACCCCGGGAGGGGGCGGGGAGTATAGGAGGGGTGTAGAGGGCCATGGGTTACTCCTGCCTCACTGTCCTCACCCCTCCCCTCAGCAAGTGTGGAACATATCCCCCAGAGAGCTGCCTCTTCAGCCTTATTGGCAACATGGGTGCTTTTATGGGTGAGTGATACCATCAGACTCCTACCTTCATCTCTAGAAAAGCCCAGAAATGTTTACTCTGCACAGCCTGCCCCATCACCAAGAGCTGGTGAGAGGGGCAACTTCTCTCCTGTTCAGTGAAGGCCAGATACTAACTAATCTTCCACACAGCTGCCCTGGGTAAAAGCCTGGGATTGGGGGGGATGACACAGAAACAATTCTACCTACTTGTCCACGACCTTGTAGCTCTCAGCAAGAGGCTGGAGTGCCTGAGCAGGCGAGAAACTGGAGGGCAGGCTGGGAAGGCAAGGTTGGAGGAAGGCGAGAACTGGTCTCAGCATCACTGTCTTCCCCTAGTGGCCCTGATCTGCCTCCTTCGGTACGGGCAGCTCCTGGAGCAGAGCCGGCACTCCTGGATCAACACCACAGCACTCATCACAGGCTGCACCAACGCCGCGGGCCTCGTGGTGGTCGGCAACTTCCAGGTGCCTCCCCCCACCTCCCCTTTATAGGGTCTGGCTGCCTGTAGGGGCAACACTGGAGGTTGATCAAGGAAGGGAGGGGTTGAGGGACAGAGAAGGGATGGATGGGACAGAGAGGTGGGGCTACTTCATGGATTAACCCATCTGGGCCAGGTGGACCATGCCAAGTCTCTACACTACATCGGAGCTGGTGTGGCCTTCCCCGCCGGGCTGCTCTTTGTGTGCCTGCAATGTGTCCTCTTCTACCATGGGGCCACCACCACCCTGGACCTGGCTATGGCCTACCTGCGAAGTGTGCTGGCTGTCATTGCCTTCATCACCTTGGTCCTTAGTATCCTTCTGGGACTCACCCCCTAGCTCAACCCTTCTCCCACCCCAGGTCGGGGGAGGGGTGGGATCTTGAGCCCAGTGCCCATCGGCCTAGTAGTCTTCTCCTTAGGAAGTCTGATCCTTTACCTCAGCCAACTTCAGCATCTAGGACGGCCAAACAGTGTAGCCAGGTCCACACATGGTATCGAACCTTTCCTTAACCCCATTCCAGGTGGAGTCTTCTTCCTCCACGAGAGTTCTCAGCTACAGCACGGGGCTGCCCTGTGTGAATGGGTGTTTGTCCTCGATATCCTCATTTTCTACGGCACCTTCAGCTATGAGTTTGGGGCGATCTCCTCAGACACACTGGTGGCTGCACTGCAGCCTGCCCCTGGCAGGACCTGTAAGTCCTCCGGGAGCAGCAGCACCTCTACCCACCTCAACTGTGCTCCCGAGAGTATTGCCATGATCTGAGTCTGGAGGGTGGCTGGCCCAGCCTCCACAGCACCCACACCCTCTACCTTCTTTGCATTTATTTTGTACCAAAAACGATTTGTAGAGAGTATTGTTGGGATCTAGGCTTCCTCACTTCTGGAGAAGTGGCTATCCAACATCCACCTGTGCCATAGAGGAGCCCGGTCTCAGCAGCTGCCTCTGCTACATGTCCTGTCCCCCCATACCAGAGTAGTATTTTGTGTTAAAGGTCACCTATCCTCACTTGCCCTGCCAGCCCTTCAGGTGCCTTCTATTCCCAGTGCCAGAGCCAGACCACTGGGGTTTCCTGCTGCAGGAATTGGGGGCTGGGGTAGCAGGGGCCCCAAAGCCTGGATGATGGGAGGCGCATGCCTTAGCCTAAGGGAGGGCCCACCCAGCTGCACTTGGGTTCTTCACTCTGCCCCTCACTTCCTTTAGGGCAAATAACACAGCAGAACCACATGAGTATTTTAGTACGTTTTTATATCTATTAAAAGAATTCTAATTTGCATGTCTGCAGTCTGTTCTGGAGAATCAGGGAGGGTCTGATCCAGTAGGTAGGGATGAAAAGAAGCCCTTTGGTCCGTCCAGGAGAGATTCTTGAGGGTTGCCAATAACTAAGAGTGACAGGTGCCATCAAAATACATCAGAAGGGTCTGGGCATGATGGTACAAACCTAGCACTGGGGAGGTAGAGGCAGGAGGATCTCCTAAGTTCTGTATAGAGTGTGATTTGTATAGACCAGGATCATCCTGGTCAATACAGTGAGTTCCAAGCCAGCCAGGGTCACATAGACCCACTCTCAAGACCTCCACAAGTGCTTGGCCCCCCTTTTTGAGTCTCTAAACAGGCCAAAGAACTGGCTTGGCTTTGTAGTCTCATTTCTTTCCCCTACCCAGTCTGGCTTGAACTTTGATTCCTTGATACCGGCGCCTACAGGGACGGGGATGGGATACAGAGGGCAACTTTTACAATGTTAAAAGTTTTCTCAGGGGAACTAAAGAACACCCCCAGGATTCCAATGTTAACTAAAGGTTCCAAGGTTAACTAGATTCTTCCGGAAGGGGGTGGTGCAAGTTAGTTTATCAGTTTTAAACAGCTACAAAGTGCCAGGCCCTGACACAGTTTAACTTCTAACCAAGAACACTCAGACCCAAGCCCTGGTTGCCCCCAGGGCCCCACCACCCAGAGGCTAGAGGCCAGCAGAGAGGGAAATGCAGCCTGGCACCTTCCGCCATCTGACGCGTTTGCCAGCTTTTAACTAGCAGCAGGGTGGAGGATGCGGAGGCCTGCTCCGGCAGCGTGTGAGCGGTGCAGCTGCAGGGCGGGTAAAGAAACCTTTAATGAAGACTCAAAGTGCAAAAGGGAGGACTCGGTCACAGAGGCTGAGCTCTCAGCCCTAACTGCTGCCTCACGTGTACATGGCTCCGTGGAGGTTCTCCAGGCGGTGCTGCTGCTGCTGCCTCCGAGCCTGGAAGACAGACAAAGGCTAGGCAGGGCAGGCAAATACTCATGGATAAGGCCTGTTTTCAGGCTCCTAGCTTCAACAATGCTAAGGCCTCTGCCCCTCAACCAAACTGACTTGGAGGGGAGGCAAAGTGAGGAGCCTGCTGAGGTGGAGGGGTGGGGTGACCACGCCCACTGCCCCCCCTCCTCAGAAGCACCAGCCCCTACCTTGTCTTTCTTGTGCTCTTCATAACTGTCATCATCAGTGGGCAGCTCATGGCGGCACAGGGGGCAGGAATTTGTCTAGACAAATCAGAGCAGTCTTCCAGCCCGTCCCTGCTCCTGAGTCCCACCCCTGCTCTCGCCCTTCCTGGTTTCCCAGTTCAGTCCGGAACCACAAAAGCAGCTCAGGAATTGGTGCCAGGGCAGGTGAGGCCGGAAGAAGTACCTTACTTAGCCAGGGCAGAATGCAGTCGGAGTGGAAGAGGTGATGGCAGGGCATCTCGATCACAGTCTCCTCCTCCTCAAACTCCAAAAGGCACACAGGGCACTTGAGCTCTTGAAGAGGAAGTGTTGATCAGGAGAACTGTTAAGGCCCCACCCCAACCTCCCACTCAGACCCAGGCTTGGCCTAGAAAACTAACAGGCCAGATTGTGCTGGCCTGGGGGAGATGGCACGTCTGGCTTATCTCCTAAAAAGAAAAAAAGAACTTGTATCCTCACCAGCCTTGGAGCTACCGATGACTGTTCTGGGGAGGCTCTCCACCACAGCCTTGGCAGCTGGTGGGGGCAGGTGGTGTTCCCAATCTACCAATCCCAAGTCCGCAAAGTCCATCCTATTAAAGAGTGATCTGAGGGAAAAGTGTAAGAATCAGAACTAAAAAAACCCCCACATTTTTGGCCCCATAATCCACTAGACACTAACAGACAAAAACACCTGTCCTGGCCAGTAGTAATAATGACTAGTACACAATAGCTGCTCAGTAGGAAAAATGAAAGTGGGGTGGGAGCGGAGGGGTCCCGCGCCTTTAATCACAACACTTAGGAGGCTGTGAGTTCGAGGCCAGCCTTACCTACATACTGAGTTACAGTTGGGAATACATACTAAGACTCTCTCAAAACACCAGCATGGTGGTGTGATCAGACAACCCCAGCTCGCTGCTCATTCCCATTTTACACGAAGTAGCAGTCTCAAGGAAGTCGCTCAGGAACGATCCGGTAAAGTTTAGTTGATTCCAGGGCCACAGTGAGCTTTTGTGCTAGCTTATTGCTAGCAAAATACTATCCAATTTACTACGCACGTGAGCACATGGCCGTGTCCGCCCCCATGACAATCTTCTCCGCTGCCTCCCTCTGCGACTCCCACCTTTTCCAGCTCAGTCCTTCCCACGATCCCCTGGCGGGCCCTGCTCATTAATGGCCCAAATTAACGACTCCGACTAATCGCGTGGCCCAGACTTAACATTCCATATTATTCATCCCATCTCCCAGGTTACCGGCCCTCTCCGCCAAGCCCCAGCCCAGAAACCTGCTGCCCGGGGCCCAGCTCCAAGCCCCGCGCACTCTCCTCGCGAGCTCCAGCAACATATTGTTGCGGGCCTCGCGCTCAGGGTTCAACGGCTCGCAGTCGTGCTCATCAAAATAGGACGCCATGGCCGCCGGGTTGCTAGGCTTGTCTGACACAGCTCTAGCTTGCCGCTGGAGAGCGGGATCCCGCCCTGGCCAATAAGCGAGCGAGCTTCGAGATGCCAGCCAATCAGAGTATTCGTGAGGTGGCCATAGCGGCTCGCTGACCGCTCACAAAGGCGGAAGTACTGATTCAGCCGCCTCTCATTGGTCGGATGGGTCAGGTGACCAAAGGCTAAAGCCAATAGAGTCGTAGAACAAGGAAATTCCGGGGACTTTTCCGGCCCCACGCTCAGACGGCCCTCGCAGCGCTCCAGAAGTGGAAAATGCGAGCCGGAAGTCTTTGTATTGAGTCTCATTGGCTGAATTTACCCTCACGCCCCACCTACTCCTCGAGAGGAAAATTCCCACGCATTTATTAGGTTTTAGGCATAAAAATAAGGGGTGGAGGAACTAAAGAGATAGTTAAGCTGACCCAAGTTCTAGTCCCAGCACCCACAGGGCGGCGCTCAACCGTCTGTGACAGATTCCAGGCGTTCCGACGCTCTCTGCGGGCACCAGGCATACATGCAGCAAAACACCCACACACATTAAAAAAAAGAGAAAAAAAAGGAAAAAAAAAGGGCATGGTGCTGCATGGCTTTAATCCCATAAGTCAGGAGGCAGAGGCAGGCGGATTTCTTTGAGTGGTAGGCCAACCAAGGCTACAAAGTGTGACCCTATTTCAATCTGTCAATCAATAAAAATAAAAAATAAATATAAACAAATAAGGAAAGAGAAAGACAAACAAAACCATGCATGGTTAGGAGCTCAAGTCGGGCAGTTTACAACCTCCTATAACTCCAGCTCCAGGTAGCCCCTCTTTGCCCCTTCTCCCCGATACCTACGTTCAACTGGCAGAAACACACTTATAAAAATAAATCCTTTAAAAAAAAAAAAAAAAGGTGACAGCCAGAGGATTGCAAGTTCAAGACCAGTATGGACTACATAGTAAGATCCTGTCTTAAACAGGATAAAAGGAGACACATACAGAAAACGAAAAGCCCGTATTTGATCACTGTAATTGTCTGATACTGTAGTGAGGTACCTTCTGCTTTTCCTTTTTCTCATGGGGGCTTAACTACAGAGCCTTGAGTCCATGCTAAGCACTTTCTCTACCACTGAACTGCACCCGCATTACTTCTGCCCCCCCCCCCCTTTTTTTTGAGACAGGGTTTCTCTGTGTAGCTTTGCGCCTTTCCTGGGACATACTTGGTAGCCCAGGCTGGCCTCGAACTCAGAGAGATCCGCCTGGCTCTGCTTCCCGAGTGCTGGGATTAAAGGCGTGCGCCACCACCGCCCGGCCAACTTCTGCCCCCTTTTATATGTATGAAACCTGAGTTCCAGAAGCGGCTTGCCCAAAGTGAGTGTTGTTGACCTACTTAGCAGGGCAAAGTGCTACCCTCCATCATTCTCAGAAGAGGAAGGTGATAATAAACCCAGGGAAGGTAACAAATTCTTAGAGCAAGCATGGTGGTAATCTGAGAATTTAAGAGGCCAGCTTGGGTTCTTAGGGAGACACTGCCTCTAACAAAAAGTAATAAGCCTCTATAGCCTACACTTGACAAAAACTAGGGTCATCTGGGAAGAAGGACCCTCAACTGAGAAAATTCCTCCATCACATGAACCTGTAGACAAAGTCATTTTCTTGATTAATGATTGATATGGAAGGGCCCAGCCCACTGTAGGCAGTGACATCCCAAGATTGTATAAGGAAGCAGGCTGATGAACGGGGCAGTGGAGGCGCACGCCTTTAGTCCCAGCATTCGGGTAGCAGAGGAAGGCGGATCTCTGTGAGTTCAAGGTCAGGCCTGGTCTACAGAAAGAGTTCCAGGACAGCCAGGGCTACACAGAGAAGCCCTGTCTTGAAAAACCAATAAAAACAAAAAAATTTAAAAGAAAGGAAGGAAGGAAGGAAGGAAGAAAGCTGAGAAAGCCGGTCAGCAGTGTTTCTCCATGGCCTCTGCTTCAGATCTTGCCTCAGTTCCTGCCCTGGTTTCCTGCCCTGACTCTCCTTCAAAATAGACTACAATTTTAAGTTGAAACACACCCTTTTCTCAACAAGTTCCTTTTGGTCATGGTGTTTATTTTACCACAATAGTAAGAAAACAATGCCGGACAGTGGAGACACAGGCCTTTAATCCCAGCACTCTGGAGGAGGCAGGAGCAGGTGGATCTCTGTGGGTTTGAGGCCAGCCTGGTCTACAGAGTGAATTCCCGGACCACCAGAGCTACACAGTGAAACCTTGTCTCGAAAAATAAAATATATATATATATATATATATATATATATATATATAATAAAATAAAAATAAATAAATAAAACAAAGCAAAGAAGTTGGCACTAGGACTTGGGTATTTCTGTGGCAGATCTGAACATATTATGTTTGGGAAGACTGGGAAGGATGTTGGGACATTGGGCTGGAAAAGTTATGTTAAAGTTTTAGAACTTAATGAACTTGTGGGGACTTGGAAGATAATGCGGACAGCCATGCAGATGGTGGAGGCCTGGCTTAATGAAGGTTCAGAGGGAAGTTTGCGAATCCCTTAAAGACTCTGTCGGGGCTGTTTGTGAGATATATTTGAATTAAAAATCTGTGGCTTAGCCGGGCGGGTGGTGGCGCACGCCTTTAATCCCAGCACTCGGGAGGCAGAGCCAGGCGGATCTCTGTGAGTTCGAGGCCATCCTGGGCTACCAAGTGAGTTCCAGGAAAGGCGCAAAGCTACACAGAGAAACCCTATCTCGAAAAACCAAAAAAAAAAAAAAAAAAAGAAAAAAATCTGTGGCTTAGCCTGGTGGTGGTGGTGCATGCCTTTAATACCAACACGCAGGAAGCAGAGGCAGGCAGAGCTCTGTGAGTTCAAGGCCAACCTGGTCTACAGATCGAGTCCCAGGACAGCCAGGGCTAGCCAGAGAAAGCCTGTCTCAACAACAACAACACCAAAAGGAAGGTATGGCTCTGGGCAGCTGGGGCTGAAGAATCAGGGGTGATTAACACCAGACCAGCAGCACTGAAGTGAAACCTGAGCTCTAGTAAGACAATCTATGCAGGTTATCTGGAGCTGAGAAATTAGCAGCGATTAAGAAGAGATGAGCATTATTTTGATCATGTTTTGGTCTTTCGAGACAGAGTTTCTCTGTGTAACAGTCCTGGCTCTCCTGAAACTTTATCTGTAGACCAGGTTAGCCTTGAACTCATAGAGATCTACCTGCCTCTGCCTCCCAAGGGCTGGGATTCAAGGCACATACCACCCTACCAGCCCATCCCCAAACGTCACAGTTTTTGGGTTTTGGTGGGTTTTTTTGTTTGTTTGTTTGTTTTGGTTTTTCAAGACAGGGTTTCTCTGTGTAGTTTTGGTGCCTGTCCTGGATCTCACTCTGTAGACCAGGCTGGCCTTGAACTCACAGAAATCCGGCCTGGCTCTGGGATTAAAGGTATGTGCCACTGCCACCCAGCCTTTTTTTTTTTTTTCAAATAATTTATTTTTATGTGCATTGGTGCTTTACCTGCTTGTGTGTCTGTGTGAGGGTGTCAGATCTTGGAGTTACAAGGCAGTTGTGAGCTGCCATGTGAGTGCTGGGAATTGAACCCCAGGTCCTCCAGAAGAACAGCCAGTGCTCTTAACAGCTGAGACATCTCTCCAGCCCCCACAACTCCATATTCTTTTTTCTTTTCTTTTCTTTTTTTTTTTTTTTTGGTTTTTTGAGACAGGGTTTCTCTGTGTAGCTTTGCGCCTCTCCTGGAACTCACTTGGTAGCCCAGGCTGGCCTCGAACTCACAGAGATTCGCCTGGCTCTGCCTCCCGAGTGCTGGGATTAAAGGCGTGCGCCACCACAGCCAGGCGGACAACTCCATATTCTTTACTCACCAGCTCACATTGTTTTTTGAGACAGCATATCCTATTGGCCTGGAGCTCACCAATTAGGTTAGGCTGGTGGCTACTGATTCCCCAGGGATTTGTCCGTCTCTACCTTCCCAGTTCTGGATGTACAAGAAGGTCAATATATTGGTTTTTGTTTGTTTATGTGTTTTTTGAGAGAGGATCTCACTATGTAGACCAGGCTAGCCTCAGTCTCACAGAGATCTGCCTGTCCCTATTTGCCCAGTGCTTAGATCAAGGTTAAGGCTACCACATTGGACTACACACCAGGCTTTTTAAAATGGGTTTTGGAGATGTAACTCAGGTCCCTGTGCTTTCAAGGCAAACACTTTATGAGCTTATCTCTGGGCATGTTTCTTGTTTTTCTTAAATGTTGTGTAAATTGTGAGTGTGTGTACACTTGAGTGCAGCTGCCCGCAGAGGATGATCTCACCGGGCGGGGGGGTGGCGCACGCCTTTAATCCCAGCACTCGGGAGGCAGAGGCAGGCGGATCTCTGTGAGTTCGAGGCCAGCCTGGGCTACAGAGGGAGATCCAGGAAAGGCGCAAAGCTACACAGAGAAACCCTGTCTCGAAAAACCAAAAAAAAAAAAAAAAAAAAAAAAAAAACCCACAGAGGATGATCTCCCTGAAGCTAGACTTAGAGGTGGTTATAAAGTACCTGACTTGAGAGATGGGAACTGAACTTGCAAATTTGGGTCCTCTGCAAGAGCAGTACGCCTTCCTAACCACCGAGCCGTCTCTCCAGCCAACTTTTTGCTTTTGAGACAGGGCCTCATATAGCCCAGACTGGCTTCAAACTAACTATAGCCAAGGATGATCTTGACCTTGTAATCCTCCTGCCTCTACCTCCTCAGTGCTGGGTCTTTAGAGGTATGTGCCACTATCCAGCCCAGAACTTTGTTCACACTAAGCAAGGACTCTGAAAACTGAGCTGGACTCCCAGCAAGCCCTCTCTTCTTAATTCTTCCATCTGGGTCCTCTAAGAACCCTCAAGATGTCAGAAATGATGGGTTTCATTTTCATGGGAATAGATGCAAAGGTCTGTTTTGTGGGTTGTTGTGTCTGTGCCCCCATATTACAGGTCTGTCTGTGTAGGGCAAAACCAAGGAGAAAAAGCAAAGGAAGGAGTCATCTACTGGAATATAGTCCTTTGGGCAACAAGTTTTCTTTTCTTTTTTAAATTACATTAATTTAGTGTGTATATATGTGTGTGTGTGTGTGTGTGTGTGTGTGTGTGTGTGTGTACAGTATGCAGTATGTTTCTGACGTGGGATGTGTGTGTGTGTGTTGTGTTTCTGCATCTGAAGTGTGTGTGTACACATTTGTGTCTGTGATGTGTGTATGTGCATGAGAGAGCAGAGAGAGAGAGAGAGAACAAACACTTTTAACCAAACAGCTGCTTTTACTGAGCTCCAGCTGTGTCGCCTAGTAGGGCCAGTGCAGCAGCAGGCTGCCCTCAAGGGCCAGTCCATGGCATGATGGGAGATGCAGAGGTGAACATATCCAGGATGCCCTTCAGTACTCTCCGGGGTGGCCGAGATGGAAGCAAACACCAGGATTCTCTGGAGACCAGAACAGGCCAGTACAGTCATTCAGCCTCTCCTCCAGGCCTGGCTGGGTCAGTCCCCAGTCCCTAAGGCAATGCCTGTATCCTAGGCCTATGGATTACTACTGTCCCCACCACTCCCTGGAAGAAAGATGACCAGCAGTACAATCAGGATGATGAGTAGGCCACCAGCCACTGCGAGCCCCAAGTAGATCCGGCACCGGATATTCTCCCAGCGCTTCTTCTGGGCTAGAGTCTTGGTCGTCTTGCTGAAGGCCGAACTCTGTGGGTACCCAGAGATACCGAGAGAAAGAGAGTTAATGGTTCCCACAGGGCCTCAAAGCCAGCACTCCATCCCTACACCAGCACTCTCCCTACCCTGTCTGCTGCCTCTCCACTCACTGTCACCCGGGACCCTTGCAGCCTGGCTCCCGACCTCAAACACTGCTGTAACACTTGACTCTTGATCCTCCTGCTAGTTCACACCCACTTAGCCCTTGACCTCTAGGATTGTGCACAGCTCCAAAGACTTCTTAGGTTTATTTATTTATTTTGTTTATTTGTTTGTTTTTGTAAGATAGGGTCTCATGTAGCTCCAACTTGGACTTACTGTGTGATGGAGAGTGAGCTTCTGATCTCTGGATTCCCTGAGTGCTGGGATCACAGGTGTACCACCGCTGTGTTTCATGCTATGGTGGGGAGTGGACCCAGGGCCATGCATGCTAGGTAAGCACTCTATCTGAGCTACAGCCCCAACCCAAGGCTATCTTTGTGAAATCCACTAGTAGGAAACCAGAAGTCCCACACTAGGAAGCAAGCAGGCCCCAGACCCCACCTACAGCCTCCCCAGCAAAGCCTGAGAGCTCCCTCTAAGGGTCAAACTTCTCCTGTCCCTCCCCCATTCCCAGCGGTCACCCACCATGTCCAGGAGCTGGTCTGAGCGCTGCTCCAGCTCTGCCAGCTTGTTGTCACGCTCCAGGACCTTGTTAAAATTGTTGAGCATGATTTCCGTCACTTCGTCCGCCTGCCGCTGGCATCGCTCCAATTCTTTCCCTGCCTGAGCACCAAGCCCAAGGTCAAGGATACAAGAGTTCCCCACCCAGCCTTCCTCCCGCACAAAAGACCTAAACTCCCGCTCCCCTACAATGTCTGGGTATGGCAGATGAGTAATAGCATCCTTTGTGTGTAAAGGCTTCAGCTATTCAGGTTAAAGGGCTGCCTTCTGAGCAATTGACCTCCGGGCTCCTTATCCATCCGCCCCAGATTTCAGCATCTCAGCTTCTTCTCTGTTACCTCCAACTGGGAGCTTCCCAGGCCTCCAACTTCCCACAAAGCAGATGCTTTGCTCACCTGCTCCAAGATGTCATCTACCCAGTGTTCATCTGTCCTACGGCTTCCCACTGACCCCAAGAAATGGCAAAGAGCAGGGAGCCAGGCAAGAAAAAAAAAAAAATTCACTCAGCAGGACTAGAAAGGTCTTTTGAGACCAGGTCACATCAGCATCTCTGCCTAGAACCCCTCCCAAACCAAGCAGCTCATCTCTCCCTCTCTGGACCCCTGACCAGTCAGGCCAGTTCTGCCTCTGAGCTAACCTGCTCTCCACTTTTCAGTGGCCACCTTCTAAATGTGCTCTCCTCCTGGGAACCTGAGACCCTCTGGCCTTTGGCCTCCAGCCTTCAATGCAGCCAGGGCTTCCCTGGGATCCTCAGTTTTCAATGGGATCCAAGTGACAATCTTTGGCTTTTGAACCTGGGCAGCCCAGCTTCACCTAACCAGGAAACCCAGTTTGTTTTGGAGGATTGGGATGAGAAAGGCACAAGTGTCAATCTGGGGGATGTGAAAGGGGAAGAGGGGGAGAAAAGAGTTGGGGCAAAAGCCCTGCTGTCTCTAGGTGCCTTGTGCAAGACCACGAGACAGCAAGCAGGTCTATTCAGGAAGATGAACACCAGAGGATTAGCAAACCACAGCAACCCCTCCCCTCAGCCTCATCCTTCCCAGCCCATCCCCATTCTATCTCCTTTTCACAGAGTGTCAACCCCACCCCCACTTCCGGCCAGCCCATATCTCCCATTGTTCCCAGCAGACATTTTGGCATTTGACAGAATTCCACTTGAAACCAGAGAATGTGTGTTGGAAGAGACCTGGTAGTCGCAGAGGATTACCTCCTCCACAGGCAAGAACCCTCACAGAGGATCATCACAGCTGCCCTGCACACAGCCTCAGAGCATTCCCAGGGCATGAGTCCTCTCTCCACAGCTAGATCACAAGCTCCCAAAGGGAGGGCAGGGGGCAGCACCCTAGTCCATCCTCCAGCATCCAGAAGCCTGGGAGGTCAACACAATGCTGATCACTGCAAGGACCCAGGAAAGGGGTCAGTTGCTTGATTGCTATCCAAAAGGAACTTTTAGTCTCAAGAGAGGTTCTCCTGATGTGCTTCTCTAGCCCAGCAGGAGTTTCGAGGGACAGGCATCTGAAACCCAGATAGGTCAATATTTATCTAAGAGCTAGAAAAACAGCTTGTTTTTAAAGTGGGGCAGGCAAACCAAGGAGGCAGAAGGTGCAGAGGCTGGGACACAGGGCGGCTTCCTCCATTCCTGAGTCAGTTGTCATCCCCACCGTGACTACTGGATTGTTGGACAAGGCTCCATTGTTTGAACTTCCCCAGATCCCAACACTCCAAAAACTTGGGAACAGACAAAGATTTAAAGAATCACCGCTGGGGCTTGGTGGGATGCTGGGGGTATTTTCGTTTTTATTATTGTAGGGGGACCCAGATGGGGAAGTCAGAGGACATCCTGTCCACTTTCCCATGGATCCTGGGATTGAACTCAGGGCAGCAGGCTTGTGTGGAGAAAGCGCTTTACCTGCTGAGCCACCTTACGGCTCCGGCTCCTGTCTGTCTGTCCTCTCCCCAACTGCCCACCCCCACCCTGCAGCATATGAGTGCGTTGGGAGTGGTTTTGCTGGTACACCTGCCTGTAATACACCCAGAGGCCAGAGGATGATGCCAGTGTCCTGCTCTATTGACAGCAGGTCTCTCACTGAACCTGGAAGAGTCTGGTAGCCGGAAAGCCCCACCAATGCTCATGCTTCAGTGATAAGTGCTGTTAACTACTGAGCCATTGCCCAGCATCTTCCCCCTTTCTTCATCTTTTCTTTTATCTTTTTTCTTTTTGACAAGGTCTCGTATCGCCCAGGTTGGCCTCCAACACACTATACAGCCCAAAATGACCTAGTACTTCTAATCCTGTTAGCCTCATTTCCCAGTACCAGTAGTGCAAGGGTGTCCTACCATGCCCAGTTTATGTGGTGCTGGTGACGAAAGCCCAGGGCTTCATTCATGCTCAGGGAAGCCCTCTACCTGCTGAACTACATCTCCAGCTCTGTTCTTCTGTTCTGGATGCTACAACTGTTATCTTATTCCCATCCAAGGGGAAACGCAGGGTCACATTCTGTGGAGAGCTGCCTGTGCCTCCAGCTACAATCTGGAGCTTTTTCCCTCCACAGCAAAAGCATGCCACTGCCTATCAGGAGCCAAGACGGGCTACTGGCCTAAAAGAACACATACATTCCAGGGAATACAGCCACCAATCCCCAGCCTACTTTGGCCCCCCTCAACCAGAGGCAAAAGGACCCTAACTATGTGCACAGGTCTCTGCTGGAAGTATGAAAGATAAATCGCTAGGAAAGTGTCGGGGAAGAGTTGAGCAGTGGGCAAGCAAGGGCCATGCTGTCCTGTGCCACCTGTAACTCAGCCAAGGGCCTGGCAGCTGGTAGACACATGACAGATATTTTTTGAATGAATTGTACCTGTTTTCAGGGAGATTTCTCTCTAGCTGAGGAAAAGAAACATGTGATACCATCAGAGAAGGGTGGAGTTACACACGGAGACATAAAGTGCCCTAGCCACCCGTGGAGTGGGTAGATTACAAGGGTCAGAATTGTAACCAAAAGGGCAGATGTTGGAATGGAGCTGGGCCATTCTGGCAGACAGAGACACAGCCCACTAGTGAAGGGACCTGGCAGAGGGTGGAGAGGCTGGGTGGGGCTAGGGAAAGCCACAGAAGTCAAGGGGTGGAAACTAGTGTGGAGGAAGTGATAAAACTCAACCAAGTCAGGTGTGGTGGCATGCATAAGCGGGGACTCTCCAGTCCCAAGCCAGCCTGGGCTATGTAGTGAGATCTGTCTCAAAAACAAGACAAAAGCATTAGGTGTGACACACGCCTGTAATCCCAGCGTTCCAGAGGCAGAGGCAAGAGAATCAGAAGTTCAAGGCCATCTTTGGCCTGGACTACATGAGACCATCTCGAGGCGGAGGCTGGGGTGTGTAGGCTGGGGAGAGTGCTCAGTGGGTAAAGTGCATTTATAAGCTCCTGAGTTCGGATCCCAAGCACCCATATAAAAAGCCAGTTAAGGCTGCACACCCCAATACCTCCAGCTCTGGTAGAGAGTGGAGAGAGAGGATCATTGGTTTTAGTGGCTGCCATTCTGGCTCCAGCTTTGGTGAGAGCCTTTGTCTCAAGGGAATACAGCAGAGTGATAGAGCAGGAACACACACACACACACACACACACACACACACACACACACACACACACACAGAGACAGAGACAGAGACAGAGACAGGCAGACAGACAGACAGACAGAGACAGAGAGAGCTTCAGGCTTTGAGTCTGTCATTGATCTATTGGTGAGCACCTCCCCCCTCACACCACCCACAGTTTTGTTTTGTTTTACATACCCCTGGCTGGCATGGAATTCAATATATAGACCAACTAGGCTGCTTGGACTTACAGACACCTGCCTGCTTCTGCCTGAGACCACGTCTCTTAAAAACAAGAAGTAGGGTGTGAGCAGGCATGTACATAACCCTAGCACATGGAGGAGGACAGAGCACATGACATGGTAGAGGAAAATCCCCAGAGCCTGCTAGCTATTCTCATGTAAAAACTGTGTGTATTGGTGAGCACTTATAACCTCGTTTCTGGGGGCATGGGAGACGGGAGGACTCTATGTCAAAAACAAGGTGTACTGCATCCCTCGCCTCAAATCCCGCCTGCCTCTGCCACTTCCCAGCTGATTCACTAACACTGAGGCTGCGACCTTTCTGACCAAGCACTTCCTCTTTTGTAAAGTGGTGAGATCTCAGATTAGCTCAGATTATGTAGTACATTATTAACAAAAGCCTAAACAATACCTGGCCCATACTAAATGTGAAATAAATAATACCAATTAGTATTAATGGAGACCATTTTTCATCCCTTTTTCTTTTTATTAAAGACTTCTTTTTCTTAAACATATGAATTTTTTTTTTTTAGATTTACTTATTTTATGTGAATGAGTGTTTTTCCTGCATGTGTATATGGGCACCACGGGTGTGCCTGGTGCCCAAGAAGATCAGAAGAGGATGTCAGACTTCCATGGAACTAGAATTATAGATTGTTGTGGGCTGCCATGTGGGTCCTGGGAATCAAATCCAGGACCTCCGGAAGAACAACCAGTGCTCTTAACCACTGAGCCATCTCTTCAGCCCTAAGATTTATCTTTAAAAAATATTTATGGGGGCTGGAGAGATGGTTCAGCTATTAGAGGCCGTGGCTGGTCTTCCCGAAGACCTTGGCTTGATTCCCAACACCCACATGATGGGTACAACCGTCTGTAACTCCACTTCCAGGGGATCTAACAACCTATTCTGGTCTCTTCAGGCACTGGCCATATGAACCACCCAAAACGGATACTGAGGACTGAACTGGGGTCCTCTGTAGAAGCAGCAATTACTCTTAATCAATAAGGCCCCTCTCCAGCCCATTTTCTTTTTCTTTCCAGGTCTGATGTAATCCAGGGTGGCCTTGAACTCACTACACATATACCATCATACACACTTGGCTCCTTCTGCCCACTCTTTTTTTTTTTTTCCCTCAAGATTTATTTCTTTTGATTTTCGTGTGTATGGGTGTTCTGTCTGCATGTATGTCTGCGCACCAGGTGCATACAGTACCTGAGGAAACCAAAAAAAGAGTGTGTGACCCCCTGGAACTGGAGTTACAGACAGCTGTTAGTTGCCATGTGGGTGCTGGGAATCAAACCTGGGTCCCCTGTAAGAGCAGCCAGTGTTTTAAGACTTATTTTATTTTTATCTGTGAGTATTTTGCCTGCATGTGTGTATGTGCACCATGTGCATGCCTGAGGAAGTCAGAGTCCTTGGAACTTGGCGTCTGGAGAGGGGTGGTTGTGAGCCACCATCTGGGTGCTGGGGATCTAACGCAGGTCCCTGGAGAGCAACAAATACTCTTAGCCGCTGAGCCACACTCCAGCCAACACCACCCCCTTATGAAGAAGTGTTGGGGACCTTAGGAAGGATATCTTAGATGTGGGTGTAAGTCCCTCGAGACAGTCACCCCTCCTTTTCTTTCTCAGGAGATGCACAAGCAGCCAAGCCATCCCCGTCGCATGCACACTTATGCATTTACTTGCCTCTTATCTAAATGAGGAACCTTCTGTGGCTCTTCGAGAACCGCTGCTCTAGACCCAGGAGCTGCTATCTTTTCATCAGGTGCTACAGGCCATTGAGACCTTTGTTTATGGGTGTGGTACTGGGAACTGAATCTAGGATGCCACACACTGCAGCCCTTTCAGAAATTTTAATAATAAAACAAACAAACAGGCAAACATGAAGGAGACTCTCAATAAAGTGCACAGCCTGGTCTGAGACTTGGGGGAGTCCTCCTGCCTCTGGTCCCGAGTGTTGGGATTACGGGGCCTTAAGTCTCGAGCAATAGTAACAGCCACTTTGCAGTGGGCACACAGCCTGACCAGCACTGAGCTGGCTGTTCATATGGCTATCTGGCTAAATCTTCACAATAACCCACTAAAGACAGCGTTATTGGCCCCCTTTTACAGCCCAGAGGTGTTAAGTTGCCTGGAGTCAGTAGGTAACCAATCTAAGGGCTGAATGGTCAGACTCCTGGGGCCACCAGTCTAAACCCTGTGCTAAATCAGATAGAGAGAGTTGGGGGTGTGATGCTCCAGCTGACTGGCTGAAAACTACCTACCAGTCACTTGATGATGCCAACTTTGCTTGCGTGCAAATGAGAGAAGCCTGTGACCACACACCCAAATTCTGTCAGATGAATGACTTCAAGAATTATTTTCGGCTGAGCATAGTTGTGGATTTATTTAATCCCAGAACTCAGTAGGCAGAGTTCGAGGCCAGCCCGGTCTACATTGTGGGATCTTGTCTCAAGAAAAAACAAAAACAAACAAACAAGAACTATTCTGTAGCTGGGCATGGTACCAGATCATTGTAATCCCAGCACTTGGGAGGTAGAGGCAGGAGCATTGCTGCAATTTCAAGGCCAGCCTTGTCTATAGGTAGTTTAAGGGCTATACAGCAAGACTGCCTCAAAAAATTGAGCTGGGCGGTGGTGGCGCACGCCTTTAATCCCAGCACTCGGGAGGCAGAGCCACGCGGATCTCTGTGAGTTCGAGGCCAGCCTGGGCTACCAAGTGAGTTCCAGGAGAGGCGCAAAGCTACACAGAGAAACCCTGTCTCGAAAAACCAAAAAAAAAAAAAAAAAAAAAATAGTTCATTCTAGTCAGTCACGGAGGCTCAGCTTTATAGTGAGTTCCACACCAACATGATCCTCATGAGACCTTGTCCCCCGCAAAAACAAGCGAGCTAAGTAACTTTTTAAAATTGTTTATAATGGGGTTGGAGAGATGGCTCAGTGGTTAAGAGCACATGCTGCTTTTCCAGAGGACCTGGATTCCATTCCCAGCACCACTTGGCAGCTCGCAGCCATATATAATTCCAACATGAGGTGATCTAACACCCTCTTCCAGACTCCACAGGCACTCACATACATGACGCACATTCATACATGTGGGCAAAACATTCATACAATGAAATCTTTTTAAAAATCATTTATGATGCTAGGGAGATGGCTTCATAAGTAGAACTCCTCCTGCCCTAGTCTGAGAACCAGAGTTTGAATCCCGAGCACCCACACGAAAGCCAAGCAGTTTCGTTTGAAATCCCAGTGCTCACGATGCAGAAACAGGGGATCCCAAGGACAAGCTGGTGAGCTCTCTCTGGGTCCAGCCAGAGACCCTGCCTCCATAAATAAAGCAGAGAGCTATTGAATGAGACACCTGACATCAACCTCTGACTTCCATGTGCACCTAAACACATACGTGCCCACACATGTGAACAAGCATGTCCGCTGAGGGGTTGGTGAGGTGAGAGGCGGCTGTGGCTTGTTCCTTTCCCTCTCTGATCTTTCAGGCAAGCTTTGTTGTTAGATCATACATGGAATATCACCACACACGTGTACACGTGCAAAAAAATGATTGCTCACTTCCCCTCTTCCCTGCCACTGCTTTGTCCTACGCTGGTGGCACAAAAGAGCTGCTGTGTCTTTTTTGACCCAAAGAGTCACAGAGAAGAGACCGGACGGAAAGGGAAAGGGGTGGGGGTAATTAGGTAGTCAGAGCTGGAGACAGAAAAAGGAACAAGAAGAGAGGGAGAGTTAGCTGATGGAGCTGGAGACAGGCTGCAGGAACAATGTACCCCGCAGGCTCTGAAGCCCCTTTGCCTGGAATGCACCTGTGAGCATCCCAAGGTTCTCTGGCCAGAGAACAAACCTAGCTCACCTTCATCTCAGAACTTCTCCTCCCCAGGAGCTGAGGGCCCACCCTCCTCCGCATCTCTTACCCTGCACTCTCGGAAGTGGGCTCTCGGCTCCAGCCCATTCTCAGAGCCTCCCTCAGTTTCCTGGTGTGGCCTCAAAGCTTAGGGCTACCTTCCTGCCCCACTTCCCTTTCCTGCCTCCAGTTCCCCAGAGACGAAGCCATCCAGGCACTGCCATCTCTAGCCAGCCCGTATCCATCCAGCCTTAGAGTACTAAACTTGCTTCCAGCCTGGCCCATCTTCCCAGGAGCCCCAGGGGAGGGGGATCCTAGCACCAGAGGTCCCTGACACCTTTGCCTTGGAAATGGCAGGTCTGCGGCAGGAGTTTGGGTGAGTCAACTCAGGGTTATGTCACTAGGTAGAGGTTAGGAAAGAGTCAGCCGGTGTCACACTGATAATTTCATGGAACTTTTATAGTAAACAACTTATTTTCTCTTTCCCCGGGGAAAGTGTTTATCCTTCAGCACCCGGCCTAGAGCATTTACTCAGGTTTCCACCCTTGGGCCAGCGCTGGCTCCTCTCAGCCCCGGGAAGAGCCGCAGAGGTCATCACATTACCTACCACTTTCTTAGCAAAGGGTTCTGAGTGCCTGGCAGCAGCAACTATAAACATCTCCTTTAACCTCTCAAGGACCCACTAAGGTAGGTATTGCTGCTCCTACTTTACGGTACGGAAAAGAAAGCTCATGGAGGTTAAGTGACTTGCCGGGTATTGCCGGGAGCTGGTAACTGCCGCAGGAGCGTGGGAAGCTGCAGCTCCGCTCACTCCGCCCCGACGGGGCGCACTCTGAGTCTCCTTCCCCGGCTGCCTGCAAAGCTGGGGTCTGGCCCATGCGACCAGCGTGTCTCTCACCCTGGGGTTCGGGCTCCTACCTCACGCCCCTGAACAATCGCCCTCTGCCCCTGCCGGTCTCACCATCGCCTCCGCAGCCGCCGCCACCGCCTGCTCGCCGGCTCTGGCTCCTCTGCCCGGCGCGGCCTCTGTGCCCGCGGCTCTGGAGGAAGCCGCGGGGCGGGGCGGGCCCGCGGGCCAAAGGGGCGGGGGGCGAGCCTTCTCAGAGAGGTGCCCGACCCGGGCAAACCGAAAGCGGTAACGGGGCCCGTGGGGCGCCTCCTACCGGGCCACCAGCGTACGACTTCCGATGACTCCCCAGCCTGGTGAATTTTGGTGTCTCTTGGATCTGAAGTTGCAACAGGAGTTAGCCAGGGAGGCGTCATTCCGTCATGCGACAGGCATCTGTGAGTGCTAAGTGCTCGAGATGTTCGTGAGCAGGCCAGGATACCACCATGGTGAGTGCATCTCACCCGAAATTAAAACACATCAATCACTCCAAAGTTCTGATTGTTTTCAGACGGAGCAGGCAGCATTCTGAATACATCACATGTCACCGAGTTGTACACTTAAACATGATAAACTGAGGTCTGGCGAGATGGCTCAGTGGATCAAGGCACTCGATGCCAAACCTAATGATCAGAGTTCCATCCCTGGGAGTCACATCGTGGAGAGAACCAACTCCTGCAAGTTGTCCTCTGACCTCCATACACCGGGGAGTGGAGATTTTTTAAATGCTAAAATGCTGCAGACGTTTCTGTGAGCTAAAAGTCTCAACCAACGGTGTGTGGATGGATGGGCCTCTAAAGTTGCTGGGATGGATCCCAGCCTGAAAAAAAAAAAAAAAAACGACAACAGCAGCCAGACCAAGTTTTGAACCAGCAAGAGGCAGAAGAAGAAAAGGAGGAGATTTGAGCCAGCTTCCAGAGCAGTACTCCAGTAGAGACCTTCCCTTTCCTACAAGAATCAAATACAGACAAACATGGAAAGCCCTGAAGAACGTCAAGGTGAGTTGAGGAGCGAGCTGGTGAGCAAGCTGCTGCAAGGAAAACAAACGGAGTTGTCCAGCCCGGGAACACACAGCTTCCCTCAGATTCCTGCGGGACCTCTACCCGGTGAGGAAGACGGAGAATTGGAAGGAGAGCGATGATGGGGATGAGGCGGCTTTTCCTGCAGAACTGGGAAAAATTAAAGAGCAGCCAAAGAGCAGTCCTTCCTTAATCTCACTGGCCCTGGCCAGCCTCAGGCCAACTTCAAGGTTAAAATGAGCTTGTTTTTAAGGACTGTGCAAAAGGCATGATCAGAAAGTCAAAAGATTTGTAAGTGATACACTGTGATCTGAACTTCACAAGGAAAAAAAACTCAGGGAGAAATAGATTAAGTAGTACTGGTTTTGTGCTTATCAAAGACTAAAATGTGGGCTGGGAGAGCTAGCTCAGTAGTCAAAAGTGCTGGGTGCTCCTCCAGAGGACCCAGATTGAGTTCTCAGCACCCACATGGTGGCTCACTACTGTCTATAACTCCAATTCCAGGGGATCTGATGCCCTGTTCTGGACTCCTAGGGCACCAGTCATGAGTGTGGTGCATGTCACACATGCAAGGGAAGCATCTTTACACACAAAATAAAAAATAATTTAAAGAAAAAGTAATTTAAAACATGACTTACTTATTTTGCATCCTGATCGCAATTTCCCCTCCTTCCTCTCCTCCTGGTATCCCCCCACCTCGCCCATCCCTCTCAATCTACTCCTCCTCTGTTTCTATTCAGAAAAGGGGCAGGCTTCCCATGAGTATCAACCAAACATGGCATATCAAGTTGCTGTCAGACTAAGCACCTCCCCTTGTACTAAGGCTGAGCAAGGCGACCAAGTATGAGGACTAGAGTCCCAAAAGCTGGCAAAAGAGTCAGAAACAGTCCCTGTTCCCACTGTTAGGAGTCCCACAAGAAGATCAAGCTACACAATTGATACACATATGCAGAAGGCCTAGGTCGGTCCCATGCAGCCTTCCTGGTGGTCAGTTCAGTCGCTGTGAGCGCCTGTGAGCCCAGGATAGTTGTTTCTGTAGGTTTTCTTGTGGTGTCCTTTGACCCCTCTGGCTTGTACAGTCAATCCTTCCTCCCTCTCTTCAACAGGATTCCTGGAACTCAGCCTAATGTTTGACTGTATTTCCATTAGTTGCTGGATGAAGGTTCTCTGATGACAGTTGAGCTAGGCACCAGTCTGGGGTTTAGGATGCTGGCCTGGCCTTTCGGGAAAAAAAGTAGTTTTTTTAAAAGACTGAAGTGTTAAGGAAAAAAATTAAATTGCAAATTGTGGCTGGGCATGTGCTTGCCTATAATGCATCAAGCTCTGGGTTTGATCTCCAGCATTATATAACCAGATTTGATGGTAGATTGCCTGAGATCCTAGCACTGGGGAACCAGCAGCAGAAGGGTCAAAAGTTCAAAGCCCTGGTCTGATATATAGTGATTTTGTTTGTTTGTTTGTTTGTTTTGGCTTTTTGAGACAGGGTTTCTCTGTGTAGCTCTGGCTGTCCTGGAATTCATTCGCTCTGTAGACCAAACTGGCCGCAAACTCAGAGATCTGTCCAACCCTGCCTCCTGAGTCCTGGGATTAAAGGCGTGCACCACCACTGCCTGGTTACTCTATGGTGAATTTAAGGCCAGTGTTTACCACATGAGACCCTGTCTAAAAACAAAACAAAACAAAAAGACAAACTGGGCTGGCCCTCTGGCTTTTGGCTGTGATTCCAACACTTAAGAGGATGAAGCAGGAGGACTGACTGAATTTGAGACCAGCCTGAGCAACATAGTAATAGGGCTACAATGCTACAAAGCGAGACTTGGACTCAAAAAAAAAAAAAAAAGTGTGTCATATGAATTTCACTCCAATGTAAAAGGAAAGCGGCGTCTCACGGGAAGTGCTAGCTCCGACTTTTTTCTGTTCTAAACGCTTCATGAGAAACGTGCAGGCCTGTTCCTGTGCTGCCGATGCTCATGTGCCTCTAGCATTGTGGAGCCTTCCCGTCACCCAACCCATCTCCCACCTTCCCAGCAGTCCTTGGCATCCCAAATGAGGCCTCTTAACCAAAGTGTCAGGGGCTTTTTCCCTGGGGCTGAGCCACTATGAGGACAGACCACACATTTCCAAGCTTGCACACAGCACCTCAGAGCGGGCTGGGGGAGAGCGGGTAGGCACAGCACGGCAAAGCAGACCAAGAGGGGCTATTTGGTACTTTCTCTGCCCTCCCTGGAGTCAGGAGCATGATTCCAGAACCTGGCCTCTATTTAGTCTCAAACTTTGTGTCTCTTAACCCTGCCCTTTCCTCACATCCTCCCAACAACAGGTTGTTTCTAATTCTGGAAAGGCTGTGGAGGAAACAGGGACAGAGGTAGCCAAGAACCCTTCCCACAAACCGATGCAGACCGGGAAAGAACAGCAGTGACGAAGAACCTGGTGGGGAGGAGGGGTCCAGAAGACAGAAAGCTCATTGTGCTTCAGGCCCTGTCCTGTGACATTGACTGTGACTAGCATGGGACTCTGGGGAGAGATGCTCGCCCCCACCCCCTCAGAACAGCTGAGCTCCAGGGCCCTCTAAAGACCCAAAAGAGCAAGGGTGGACAAAAGACAAGCAACAAAGGAAAAGCTGACGATCTCCTTCAACTTTTGGCTCTGAGTTATACCAAGGCCACAGAAGAGACACGGCAGAAGAGGCCTTGAACCAGGCCCTAAATAACACGTCACCTCTTCGCAAACACATCCAGGAGAATAGTTAAGGGACATGATAGGATCCAAGGAGGACACTGAATCCTGCATCCTACCCTAAAGTGCTGTGGAGGTTTTGATTCTCCTTGTGGTAAGATCCTAGGAAATCCCTCCTCTTGGGGCCTGTGACAATGAACAGTGTGGTATGAAGCCAAACAGGAGGGCTTGAGAGATGGCTCAGTGGGAAAGTGCTGGTTATGCATGCACGAGGGCCTGGGTTAAGATTCCCACGCCCACGTAAAAGAGTGACCCACGCTTCTGTAACCTCAGCACTATGGAGACAGGTAGATCCCTGGAGCTCATGGGCCAGCCATCCTAGCCAAACTGATGAGCTCCAAGTTTAGTGAGTGACACCATCTCAAAAAGTATGGTGAGGGCTGGAGCTGTAAACCAGTAGTAGAGTGCTTAGCTCACATACATGATGCCATAGGTTCAGTCACCGGTACTGTCAGGAAGAAAAACAGGGCCCGCTAGATAGTAAGGTGGAAAACAATGAAGACATCCAACGTTGACCTCTGGCCTCCACACATAGGCACGCATAGGTGCACATGCACCTGCATTCATCCACACAGATGTACATCCTCACATATATACAGGATGGGAGGAAGGGAAGAAGATGGAGAGCTGGCTCTTTGGTTAAGAGTGCAAACTTGCTGGGCGGTGGTGGCGCAGGCCATTAATCCCAGCATTCGGGAGGCAGAGGCAGGCGGATCTCTGAGGTTGAGGCCAGCCTGGTCTACAGAGCAAGTTCCAGGACAGCCAGGGCTACAAAGCCTGTCTTGAAAACAGAACAAAACAAAACGGAAAAGGTGCAAACTGTCCAACGATTTAGCTGCCTGAAGAAGACCTAGACAAGGACAACACCAATAGATCTGCGAACACGGAAGGGGAGCTCTCAAAGGGCCCCATCCCTAGACAGAGAACTACAGGCAATTGAGGGGTGCTGAGAGACGGAGAATCAGTCTTCCCCAGAGAAGAGCTCCTTCACTGGTTATCCAGTACCAAGTGGTCAGTCCTGAAGTCCTATGCATGCAATCAACACCAAACAGACTCAGCGGGCTATATTTGTGTGTGTGTGTGTGTGTGTGTGTGTGTGCATGTGTGTGTGTAAAACAATAACAACTAAAGAAAAGGAGGCTATGAATTTGAGAGGGAGTGAAGGGAGCGTGGGGAGGCTGAAGGGAAGGGGCAACCCAGTATAATTATATTTTAATTAATAATAAACAAATTAAAATTCTTTACCTAAGGAGGGGGAAAAAAGAGGGCAAACCGTTCTTGCAGAGGACCCAAGTTTGGGTCCAAGCACCCATGTTGGGCAGCTCACCGCTGCCTGTAACTCCAATGCCAGGGGAACCGACATCCTCTTCTGGGCTCTGGGGGCACCTGCATTCACATACCCATACTTTAAAAAAAATAAAAGTAAGTCCATACATACACACACACACACACACACACACACACACACACACACTAGCGAGAGAGAGTATGTGTGTGTATGAGTGTATGTGTGTGTGTGTGTGCCAGACAGAATTATTGATTCTAGCTGGGTATAGTGACTCACATCTGTAATCCAGGTGTGCAAAGCCCCTGAGCTGCCATCTTTCCTCTATAGCTCTGTACTCTATCTTTGCACCATCTTGGTCCTAGATTGGGAGAAACCAATCCGGAGGGGGTCCTCAGGAAGGGAGAAACCGAAGGGCAAAGGGCGAAAGAGAAAGGAGGGACGTGCTCATACTCTTAGGGACACTGAAAGGTCTTTATTGCCCGCCAGCCACCAGCAGGGTCCTCTGGGTCTCTCTAACCCACTCTCAGGACCCCTGAGATGCAGCCACAGTCCAGCTCTCTCCTCCCAGGGGATCAAGGTGCTTCTGGAGCAGATGTCGCAGAAGGCCCTCACGGGGACCAAGCAGCATTTCTGTGGAGGAGGACAGGAGAGGGCCCCTCTTGGCACACATCAGGGAGGGTTACCCCTGAAGAGTAGTGGGGGGTGAGAGGGGCTCTAAGTGGGGATGGTGCCCGTGGCAAAGAGCACAATAAGGATGATGATGATAAGGACAATCACACAGATGATGACAATCATCTTCACATTCTTCCACCAGAACTTCCGGGCCACCTTCTGCGATGTTGTCTTGAAGTGTTCAGACTGTTAGGGACAAAATGAAGTCATGACCCAGTGAGTCCTTCCTTCAGAACGAGAGTACAGGTGGAGGCCCACATGCCATAGTGTAGATGTTTACATTGTAAATTGAAGTGAGGACCTGAAACACAGACTGGAGCTACGGTATAGCTACCTCAAAATAAACAAACAAACAAATAAATCTTTCCTGTTACAATGGGAATGGAAAGATATTTTTGTTTTGTTCTGCTGAAACAACGTTTCTCTGTGTAACAGCCCTGACTTTCCTGGAACTTGCTTTGTAGACCAGACTGGCCTCAAACTCAGAATGATACGCCTGCCTCCACCTCCGAGTGCTGGGATGAAAGGTGTACTCCACCATGTCCAGCTGTGGGAATGGAAAGGCTTTTAAAATATTTTTATAACATTGGTTGGTGTCTCTGTGTTGACATATGCACCACACCGCTCACGTGGTGGGCAGAGGACAATTCACAGGAACGGTACTCATTTTCCATTCTGTGTCCTGGGGATTGAACTCATGGAATCAGGCATGATGATAAGAGTCTATACCCCTGGAGCTATCTCTCTGGGGTTTTGTCTGTCTGTTTGTTTTGTTTTTAACTTTTGAGACAGGGTCTCACTATGTATCCCTGACTGTCCTGGAACTTCGGAGATCTGTCTATCTCTGCCTGCTGAGTGCCACAGTGCACTACCCTCCTACCTCGATACATCCCTTTCCACAACAAGCTGTAAGCCAAGTTCAGGGTTAGAATTCTTGAGCTCGTGGGCATCCCTTTGAGCATGGCAGGGGCCAGGACTTCCCTTCCTTCCTTTTTCCTTCTTTCTAGCCAGGATCTCATATAGCAAAGACTGGCCTCCACTCCTATGTAGAAAAGGATGACCTTGAACTTTTAAAAGTCTGTCCTTCCACCAAACACGTGCATCTCAGGTACGGAACTCGAGTCCTTAGGCTCGGCAGCAAGTGCCTTCACCCCCTGAGCCATCTTGATGGCCTGGCTTTGAACTTCTGGTCCTCTTGCTGCTACCTTCCAAGAGCTGGGATTATAGGCATGTACCACAATACTCTGTTTATATGTTGTCAGGGACTGAACCCAGGGTTTCACGAATTCTAGTCAAGAACTCTACCACCTGAGCCATATCCAGCCTCCCTTCTTTTTCTTGCCTCCCCCCCACTGGCCTGCACACTGAGGGGTGTTTTACATATGCTCACAATCCAGGTTTGTTTGGTAGGCAGAGCCATCTGGCCTTTGGAGAGCGGACCCACAGACGGAGGGGTACAGGAATGTGCTCCAGATGGGTACATCTCCTGGCTCTATGACACTTTGTCTTCTAGGGACTGTGGAAGCTGGAGGAAGAATCAGGGCACTACAGAACGTTGAGAGAGTAAGAAAAGGCCTCCTGCTCCCCCAAGTTTACTTACAGACACAAAGTCTCTGTGTACCCGGCTTACGCTGCAGGAGACACTAGATTCCATGATTACACCTGGGGCCCAGAAAGCCAGAGTTCTCCACAGCATGTGGAAACTGAGGCTCCAGCCTTGGCTGATGCCGGACTTCCTGCCTCCCTGAGCAGCTGGCCTAAGCAAGATGTGTAGGAGATATTATTCTGGCCTTTGGCAGGCAGAGGGATCCTGGGATCAAAGAATTTCACTGTTCTTCCTAGTTGTGTTTTAAACAGACTCAGCAAAACTCTGTTTTCCCACTCCCAGCCTAATAACTCGTGGAAAATGCTGAAAGCCAAGGACCGCTTCCCCGGTGCTCAGAGGTTTGCCTTGGGGACGTCAACTCCAAAGGACTGTCAAGGGCTTCAAAAGAAGAATCAGCTTCGTGGCCCAAAGAAGCCTAAGAATGCAGCAGTTGACTGAGCTATCTCAGGAAAGGCTCTGTAGGTGGACCCCCCGACCAAGCCCAAATGGACCCACTCACTGGGCTCTGCACCAGTCAGCCGTGTAGCAAGGAACCAGAAGAGGGGACTCAACAGCTCCCTCCAGCCCCCCGCAAACTCTCCCCGGTGAGATCTCTCCGTCTATCCCAGTCTGCTCCCCATCTCACCGTGGCTTCCAAGTCCTCGGTCTTGTTTCGGAGATGGTCCAAGTTTTCCCCTCGGGCCAAGATTCTCTCCACATTCTGGGTCATGATATTCTTGACTCCCTCCACCTCACTCTGCAGGTTCCTAACTCGGTCATTTCCGGCACCCCCACTGGCTTCCTCCTGGATGTCAATACAGGGGTTAATTAGACCAAGCAGCGAGGATCCAAGAGGCTAGAGGAGGTTGGAAGAGCTAAAGCAGATTTTAGCCATTTCTAATACTTTACAAAGAGAATGTTCTTTGTCTATGTTCACGGGTGGGTGTGTGCGCGCGTGCACGCACATGTGTGTAACCTGGCATGGAGGGTCAGAGATCAGCTGTCAGAGGTCAGGTGTCATTCCACAGGAGCCTTCCACCTTGCTTTTTTTTTTTCCCCCCTCAGAGGCTGGGTCTCTCCCGTTGGCCTGGGGCTCTCAGATTAGGCTAGCCAGCAAGCCCCAGGGATCAGCCTATCTCCACCATCCCAGTGCTGGGAGCCATCACACCTAGTGCTTGTGGCCACCACACCTGGATTTTTTTTTTTTAAATGTGGATCTGGGGATCCAACTCCAACCTCCGTTCTTACGTGGCAAGCACTTACCCACTGAGCCACCCCACCAGCTTTATTTATTTACTTATTTATCTGAGACAGGGTCTCATAGAGCCTAGGAAGGCCTCAAACTTCCTTCCTAAACAGGATGACCTTGAACAACTGATCCTCCTGTCTCTACCTTCCCCGGTGCTGGGGTTACAGGTGTGTGCCCCACCACTCCTGGTTTATGAGCTGCTGGGGATGGAACCCAGAGCGTCACGCATGCCAGGCAAACATTCTACCAATTGAGCCACACTCAGTCCTGCCTAAGTGCCATATATGTGTATTATCTATCAGTGGGTGTGGGCTGGGGATATGCATGCACACCACAGCGTTCATGGGGAGGTCAGAGGGAAACTTTCACCAGCAGATCGTCTTCTGCAGTGGCTGCGGATGGAAGTGGGAGGGATCTTGAACTCAGGCTGGCAGGCTTGCACTGCAGGCGCCTTTACCTGCCAAGCCATTTTGGCTGCCACAGAAGTGTGTTTTTAAGTCCCAGAAGATGAGATTTTATTCTGGACTGTCATCCGCCTTCTTTGGGGGGGGGATTTTCAGGGTCCCTGACAAGGAAAATCAACACACACCTGTCCCTATTTCCACTCTCCACAAAGGCCGGGGAGATGACACAGCTGGCCTTTCAGTTTCCCCCAGCAGTGCACAGACAAGTCCTGTTAACCGGTCTCCACGCCACCCTCTTTCCCATCCTGGTGGGTTCTCACTAAAAGTGTGAGAGCTGGCCAGCAGAGCACCCTTGCCTGGCCCAATCCGAGTGCCTCTCCAGACAGCTGTTGGTGAGTTGTTCTGGTTCCGGCCTGCTGCGCAGTGTAACCGCGGTTCAGTGGCTGTGGCCCCCAGAAGGCGTCATGTGCCGTTGGACCGCACCTTCTGCTTTAGCGCCTGGTGTAGGCCACACACCACCGCCTGCTTATGTAGATACTGAAAGTCCTCCCTGCTGCGGTCTCTCTATCCAGGAGGCCTCTAGATAAGGCTTTTGAACTCGGAGGGAAAAGGCATGGACTCCTCCTCCCTTAGTGACCCAGGGGGCCTCAGGTACCAGCCACGGGTGTGGGCTGAAGCTAGATTGTCTGGGAGAACCGACGCCTGGCTGTTTTACCAACCCCGGCGCTGTTGCTAATGTTTCTAGAGAAGGGGCTGCTGTTGGTGGCCAGGCAGATCCTTTGGGTGTCTGCATATATACAGCGCGAGGCTAAGGGGGAGAACACTCCAGCCCGCTGGGCTGGAATCTGAGCTCCAAAAAGCAGGGGCACTTGTGGCCCAGTAATGTCACAACACCGGGCTCAGGCCCAGCTGGAGGAGGCGGAGGAGGGGGAGGGCGCGGCGCAGCAGCTTGGCTTGGAATTCGGGCCCCCCCCCAGCCCCCACCGAAACCCTGATCGGATCCAGCTCCGAGGTCACAGGAGGAAGGCGGTGGAGAAGTGTCAGGAACCCCTGGCCCGGAGCGCAGAGCTATTTGTGGACGAGTTGTCAAAAGTAAAGGGACAGAGGCAGCGCCGGCCCAATAGGGCCAGCCCTCTGACTGTCGCCAACTTACCTATCTGGACACAGGCAACCCCCAGGCCCAATCCCCCTCTCGTAGCCCCCCTAAATCTCTCTTTTCCTAGTCCCCCACGCCACTCACCATGTCTCGGAGCACTTGGGCCTCTCAAAGCAGTACTCGCCTAGTCTGTTTCCACTCAAGGCAGCCACAGCTTCACTTCCTGCTTACTCCAACTTTCTGCCCGCCTCCTGCCCATCCCGCGACTCCAGCCTCTCCAGCTCCTGCCACACCTAACTGCAGGTTTCTCCAGGTAGGCGTCCGCTCTCTGCTGCCCTCCCAGTCTCCTCCCAAACAAAAGCTTAAGCTTAAAGCAACAGAGCACTCTGGACGGGGCGGGGGCGGGAGGGGGCGGGGGCGGGGGGGGGCAGGGGGGGAGCGTCTAAGTCGTCCAGAAGGTGAAAAGAAAGGATCAACCAACCCTCCTAAGTTTTCAGAAACCCGTGACCTCTCCTTTTTATGCTTCAGAGAAGTAATTCTAGTTTTCAGGGACTTAAATTAGCCTTGTTCAGATAGAAATGAATGTCCGGGCGAAGATATCTCCTAGGCGACCTTTGTCCCCCGGGGCCATCCTGGGTGAGAAGAAAGCACTAAAATCTCCAGAAAACGGGGCTGGAGAGATGGGTCAGCAGTTAAGAGCACCCGCTTCTCTTGCAGAGGATGGAAGTTCAGTTCCCTGCACCCACATCTGCAGCTCACAAATGCCTGTAACTGCAGATGGGGGGGGGGGCAGGGGTGGTGGTTGGGGGGACTGGGTGCCCTCTTCTGGCCTCTGTGGGTATGTGAACACACATGCGCATACACACTCATGCCCATATTTAAAATCTTTAAAATCTCTGGGTAAGTCCCAAGCTGGCCTTGAGGGAATCTTGGTCCTCCTCTTCCCAGGGCTTTTCAGGTGCTGAGGCTGACCTTAGGCAGTGGGAGGAGGGCAGGGCAGGTCACCTTAGCAGTGTCGCAGGACAGAAGATAATCAGGAAGTGATAGCTCACTCACCAGCCCCTCCTTCCCTTCTGGAGTTCCCTCCAAAGGTCACCATGGGGGTTGGTGACCCTGGTCACTTGTCACAGATTTGTCCAGTGGATTAGGAGGGGGCCCGGGGTGAAGGGTTTTTCCACCACATGTGGCTCTCCGCCAGAGAAAATCTGCTCTTCTCCGGATGGAGTTTGTCAAGACAGAACAATAACAGGGCACCAAGAGAACAGACATTCCTTCCCACCCCAGAAGAAATAACAACGCCAAGGAGGAAATCTTAGCTCCTCCAACAAATAAGAGCCTAAGGGGGAGGGGGGGAGGCTTTAGTAAATTTAGAATCCCTGTATCATTTTGAGAAACTTTTGTGTTTTCCCTTGGGCATGCTCAGGGACTCATGGACGAACTGCATCCCCAAACACTGCACTGTTAGCTTTACAGAACTAAATCAAAGCAACTAGTAACACTTTTTAAATAGATCTTTTTTTAAAGGATTTCTAATTATGTGTATGTGTGTGTATGTCTGAGGTCAGAGGTGTCAGGTTCCCTGGTGAGTTAAAGGCAGTTGTGAGCTGTCTGATGTAGGAGCTGGGAACTGAACTCTCTCTGCAAGGGTATGCTGTGGGATTTGTACACTGTGTGAAGAGGTATTGCTGTGATGGTTGTAATAAAAAGCTGACTGGCCAATAGCTAGGCGGGAGGTGTAGGCAGGACTTTGGGGGCGAAGCGGGGGGGGGGGGGGGGGGGGGGGGGATGAAGAGGAGGAGGAATCTAGGCACACAGCAGAGCCAGGAGACATGGAGAGGAAACAAGAGGTGCAAGATGGAAGAGAGGTAACACCATGTGATAGAACATAGATTAATATAAATGGGATAATTTAAGTTATAAGAGCTAGTTAGGAACAAGCCTAAGCTATAGGCCACGCTTTCATAGATAATAAGTATTTGTGTCATTACTCGGGAGCTGGCAGGTGGGACAGAAAAAGATCCCTTACAAGAGTAATGCCTGTTCTCAGCTGCTGAGCTATCTCTCCAGCTCCTTCATAACGCCAGAATATTGCACAACCTCTTTCTTTCCCAGTAAAGCAAAAGAAAAATCTAGAATAAACAGGAATGAGATTACAACAGAGAATGTCATTTCTACACCCGATCTTAGCCAAAAGGCCAAGAGGTGAGGAGAATGTCAGTTCTAGATGAGGTCTTTAGGGTATTGCGATCTCTCATCAAGAGGCAGGACTCAAGTGGTCAGAGGAAGGATTGGGGCCTGGAGAGATGGCCCATCCATTAAAAGCATGTGCTATTCTTCCAGAGGACCCAAATTTGATTGCCAGCACCCATATCAGGCAGCTTGTTACCTGTAACTCTAGCTCCAAGGGATTTCATGCCCTCTTCTGGCCCCAGTAGACCCTATACTTATGTGCACAAGTACGCACACACACAGACATACACAATTAAAGAATAAGCCGGGCGGTGGTGGCGCACACCTTTAATCCCAGCACTCGGGAGGCAGAGTCAGGCGGATCTCTGTGAGTTCGAGGCCAGCCTGGGCTACCAAGTGAGTCCCAGGAAAGGCGCAAAGCTACACAGAGAAACCCTGTCTCGAAAAACCAAAAAAAAAAAAAAAAAGAATAATAATAATAAGCAAGTGGATCTCTGTGAGTCTGATGCCAGCCTGGTGTTCTTATCCAGTTCCAGGCCAACTAGGGCTATGTGATGAGATTGTCAAAAAATAATAAAAGCTAAATTAAATTAAATATTTTTTAAAAGGAAGAATTATATTTTAATATAATATAATTATATTTTAAAAGAGTCATCTTAAACTGCAGGGGTGTCTACAAGATAAAACCCACCTAGGCTAAGTATGGTTGCAAATGCCTTTAATCCCAGCACTTGGGAAGCAGAGGCAGGAGGATATCAGTGAGTCTGAAACTGGCTGGTCTACAAAGTGAGTTCCAGAACCTCCATAGAGAGACTCTGTCTTAAAAAAAAAAAAAAAAAAAAAGGTGGGGATGGATCTCTCAGCAACAGAGTGTTTACCTAGAACGTTTGGAGTCCTAGGTTCTGTCCCAAGACCTCCCACCCCCAAATCCTTGTTCCCTACTTGTACTGTCCAATACAACATTGACTACATGTGGCCATTGAGCATTCACAGTATGGCTAGTGAGAACTGAGGCCATAAAAGGCATGTCACGTTTCAAAAACTTAGTATAAAATGATACTTTCATAAATTTCATTAATATTTTATAGCCTGGTGTGCTGTTCCATACATATAATCCCAGAATTCAGGAATCTGAGGCTGGGACAATCACATTCAAGGCTACCTCAGGCTTCATAGGCAGACCATGTTTTCAATCGATCAATCAACCAATCAATCCATCAATCAACCAACCAACTGATGGCATGTTGAAATGATGTTTTTGGATACATTCAGTTAACAGAAAGATACACATGTACCGCCAAGCTTGCTTTCATATGGTGCTGGGTTCAAATCTAATGCTTCCCGCAGCGCCAGCTGAGGACCATCTGAGCTACACCTCCAGCTTCTTACAGTTTTTATTTAACTAGTTGAAAAAACTAAACTGCACAACTAATAAAAACTTCATTCCTTTTTCCTTGGAGGTGGGTGCTGGAGTCAGGGTCATTTGAACCCAGGGTCAGGTGCATGCTAGGTAAGAGCCTACTGTCAAGTCACACCTTCAGTCTCATTTCATTTCATTATTTTTAAAGACTTAGAAGGTGCTGGAATCCCTGGAACTGTTGTGAGCCACCTGATGTGGGTGTGGCCAACTGAATTTAGGGCAGTTTGTACTCTCAACTATGAGCAACCTCTCCAGTCCTCTCTTTTGGATTTATTATTTTTTATTTTATTTTATATTTTCAGACGGAGTCTCATAATGTAACTCAAGTAGCCTGAAATATGATATGTCATCCAGGCTGACCTGAAACTCACAGTGATCTTCCCTCCTCAGAGTCCTAAATTTGGGGATTATAGGTGTGAGCCAAATGTAACATGAATTCCTAAAAATGGTCTTTTAATAAAAAAAAAACCCAGAGCCAGATATTGGGGTAAATGCTAAAAGATCGGAGAGACAAAGGAACATGCCACTGCCACGTCATACCTCCAGGACTCCACAGCCTGAAAAAGCTTCAGTTCCTGTCTCCTTGTGCCTTCCTTATATAATTTTCTCCACTCAACCATATCACTTCCTTCTTAATGCTGGGATTAAAGGTGTGTGACTCCCATGTGCTGGGGTTAAAGGTGTGTGCCACTACTGTCTGCCTCTGTTTCTCTCCTAGACTGAGTCAATCTTATGTAGTCCAGGGTGGCTTTGAACTCACAGAGATCCAGACAGATCTCTGCTTCCCTAGTGCTGGGATTAAAGGCGTGTGCTACCACTGCCTGGCTTCTGTGTTTAATCTAGTGGCTTGTTCTGTTCTCTGATCTTCAGGCAAATTTTATTAGGGTACACAATACATCACCACAGCCAAATGTCCAAGTGTTCCTCCCTCCCCCCTTACCTCCCATAGAACTCCCCAGACTCTGGACTGACTGGGTATAGCCTGTTGAGATAGTTTTCTGTGGGCTTTTGTTTCTAGAAGGAAGAGGATGCTCTGCTTCAGTAACTTTTCTGTGCCTCTTGCTAAGGTGTGATTTTTTTTCTCCCTGACACCAGGTCTTAGGTAGCCTGGCTGGCCTGGAGCTCACCAGGCAGCTGAGAATGATCCTGCTGTCTTCACCCCACTGGTGCTGGGATTACAGGCTCCCAATGCATACCCGGGGAGAGGGAACTCACCCTGAGTGACAGCAGCTTTGTAAGGAATGAGGGCAGTAGGCCGTAGGTCAGGCTAGGGAAGCCGTGGTTTAAGGATGGTTTCAGTCTCTAGTGAACGGAAGACTTGGGATCCTCGGCTGTGCTGCCGACTCAGCTGGGGAAACCTCAGTTTCCCTCTGGAGCTTTCAGTTTCTGGTTCTGCAAACAGGAAGGGGAGTGAAGACTACTTGCAAAATCACTTCTTATGCTGAGCACGTGGCTCACTCCTGTGATCCCAGTGTGTGAAGGCCAAGCAGGAGGATGGCTTACTGTGAGTTTGAGGCCAGCCTGAGCTACACGATGAGCTTGCGGCCAGCCTAGGCTAACAGAGTCTCACAAACAAAAACAAAAAAAAAGTCAGGCATGGTAGCAAATTCCTGTACTCTTAGTACTGGAGAGGCAGAGGCAAAAAGGATCAGGAGTTCAAGGCTAGCCTCAGCTATATAGCTATAGCCAGACTCTGTCTAAAAACAAGCAGAACAGGGGCTGGAGAGGTGGCTCAGAGGTTAAGAGCACTGCTTGCTCTTCCAAAGGTCCTGA